CTTCATGCTTTCTGTTGCTATGGAAACCATAACTTTAACTAATCACATCACTTTGATCTGTAACTTTATATATCAATTCAATAATGTTTGAACATTATTCTGTGCAAGTTTTATGAGGATTGGGTAAAATCTGAAGAAATCCCAGATACTTTTACCTTATTTATTGATCACCCTGTATTCTTGTATACTGAGCTAAATTGACATTATGAGTTTTACTTACGTTATACTCAAAGAGTTTATCGTCTTTAGAATACTCAACGTTGTGTAAAGCATCGAGTGGCTGGTGAGCCTCATCATTCAACATGCCTCCTCCCATTGTGATAACAATACTTGTAGCGAAACCAGTGCCCAACCAGAATCCCTGGACAACAAGGGCGAATGTATCGGATACGTACCACACAATAACGTAAAGTCCGAGACATATGTTACACCCGCAAGTGATGATGTTAACAGAGTTAAAGGCTATAAATATCTTGCTTGTATGCTCTACGCACACACATAGCTTCAGATGGTATTTTCTTAATGAATCCAATTTTTCCTTAAATCTTTTGTCATCGCTAATAGCTTGGGCAAGAACTTTATTGAAGCGTTTAAACTGTAGCCATACAGCCACGCATATGGAGAAATAAAATAGCGTTGGGAAAATCCAAGCGGCTGACAAGTATATGTAGATGATGAAAACAAAAATTCTTATAATGATGTCAGACATCTCGTTGGTTTCTTTCGGTTCATAAGGAGTCAACATGATTGGATCAAGAGATTTGGAAATAAAAACCTCGTAGCCATTGTAAATAGTGTTAAAGACGAAACAGATCCATGCGACTACAGTATAGATGATAATTCTTTTCTGCAAATACTTTGAACATCTTGATATATTTAGCTCCTCTCTTGGGAGATTGGTTTCGCTTTTAATCAGTGCCAGCAAACGGTCTGTCCTTCCGAATGCCAGGTAGCACATGATCGATTGCGATGTACAGGTTATGATCCAAAGAATAACCAGAATGCGTATATAAAGGAACGAACCGAGTTCTACATTATTCCGAAACATTGTGAGCATCCTTCCTGTATTTATTAATAACATGACAGATACAAATAAGGAATACACTCTCGATGATGACCATGTCCTCGTCATTGGCTTCTTCCCATGATCTAGCTCATCTTCGTCGTCGGTATCCCGACTGGCATGAAAAATGGTACTATGGTATAATCCAAACATTTTCATGCTAAAAATAACAGGTTTGAAAATTTGCAAACTTTCATATTTTTCGATACTTTCACTCAGTTCCTTATCTGACTCATTTGCTACATGTATGTTAATGTTTTTGTCATTTTCTGGATGACCCCAAGCGGCTTTTATATTGCCGGGTTTAACACAATCCATCTTCATTTCAGTGCTAATTCAAGTTCTGGTTAACCTTGTATTCGCGAATGCAACTAACGCCTGTCAGCTACCGCATTAACCTTCTATTTTATGACCAACTCATTTAGATGAATGGAATAGTAGCAGATACTATTCATATTTAAATGAGTAGCCCTTGAAATAGTAAATTAATCCGGTAGCCGACAGGCGTTAGTTGCATTTGCGAATACAAGCTAATAGAGGCGTGTGTGTTTGAAATATCAAGTAATCAATGGTAGGCTGATAGAATTCGTATTTGTCATGTCCCCAGCTAAGTTTTAACGAACAAGTTCAATACATCAATAATGCATACTAATACAATATTGCTGACGCATGCACTATCAAGTAATCAATGGGACATTTATCTTTACTTGCATAAGTCTATTAAATCACTAGAGGAAATGACAAATTGACTAAAAGCTTCACACTTTAAACTCCTTAACTAGAAAATAGGAACTCCGCGGAGTAGCAAATTCTACCGAACCCTAACAAAACATGTTTTGATTCGCGGCCATCTTGAAAATTTCTTCTTCAATAGAGCTCCAATCTAGGCATCAGCATATAAAACTTAAACCAAATCCGTCCATTGGTATTTGAGTTACTGTGAAACCCCAAATATTGATTGGGTTGAAGTTTGAAGGAAAACTCATGTAAATATGAATAGTTCCTGCCGTGGCATAAAAAGTTGTTCGTAATTACAACTTCAAAATGACGGTTTAATTTATGAAAATTAATGGATTAATCCGGTGGCCACTAGCTGCTATAGGCATTCGCGAATACAAGCTAAACTACACTGCATTACAGTAGCCTAGTATTTTGAAATTTGATCAGTAATATAGCAAGACACAGGCGTGTTGAGAAACTGCATGGTTGAATACAAAACCTGGAGGATCTCCATGTAGTATCAAAGATTATGTTTTTTCATGATAAAAAATTCAGCTGCTACCGTGAACATTTTTTCTTGAGCAGAGTTCATAATTTGTCCCTAGACATCAGCATATTAAATTTGAATCAAAACTGTCAACTGCTATTTGGATTATCAGAGATTACATTTTAATGACAAATGGCGGCCATTTTGATAAATACCGACCATCTTGGAGATTTCTTTTTTTAACAGAGCTACTTTATCTCTAGATCTATAGGCATCAACAAATGAAATATGAACCAAATCCGTCCACTGGTATTTGATTTATCAAAGATTACATTTTCACCAAAAATGGCGGCCATTTTGAAATTCAGTGCCCATCTTGAAAATTCTTTCTTGAGCAGAGTTCCTTTGTAATTATAAAATGTGAACCATATCCGTCCATTATTTGAGTCATCAAAGGTTACGCTTTTTACGAAAAATGGCGGTCATCTTTTAATTTAGCGGGCAGCTTGGAGATCTCTTCTTGAGCAAATATCCTTTGTCTCAGCATCAGCATGTATTTAAACCAAATCCGTCAACTAGATAGCATTTGTATTATCAAATATTACATTTTTACGAAAAACGGCGGCCACTTTGAATTTAGCAACCATATTGAAAATTCCTTTTTAAACAGAGGTCCTATCCACATATGGCATCAGCTTATAAACTTTTAAACCAATCCGTCAACGAGTATCTGATTATTGCCCGGACAGACGAACTGAAAGAACGGACAGCTTCTCTATATCCCTCTCGTATTACATTCGAGGGAATAATAATGAATGGCGAAATACATGGCCACTTCAAAGGGCACTAGAGTCACTTAAGCCACTCCATCACTTAGTGATAATTAATCAGTTTGCCTACCTTATATAATTATTAATGATATGGGATACATTGGTAAACATAGCATATCATTTGGAATATTGCTTCGGCATAGGTCCTTTACTTAATGCATTATCTATTTAATTTGAAATAAATGAAAACATGATGAACTAAGCAATACCATGTGGAGAAGTCGATGTTTTACTACATGTACCTTGAACTACACCTGGTATTGGCCGTGCAGTTCTTTAAAACTCAATCTTCCCTAACCCCCCTATCACACCAAACTCGTTCTTACCCGTTCTTGCCAGTCCTACGAAAACGTCGTAAAACGGGCTCAATCTGGCTGTGGTCGGGAAATATGTCTGAAATAATTAGCTTCTTCGTTCTTAAACAGTCTTCAATACGTCCATCTCGTTCGCAGTTCGTTCAGGTCGCACCACGTCGGTGTGCAACGCCGTAGAACGCGTCCCTTAGTCTCGAAGGTCATCATGACCTGATAACAGAACGGTATGGTCGCAATCGAATTTTGAATCGATTCAAAATTCTAAAATCACATTCCCGTCTGAGAACGTTCATAAAGTTCGTAAATAGACCTTAGAAAGTTGCAGCTACGTTCATTCCGTTCGCACACAGTTTTGAAGAACGCAGTGGCAACTTGTTTGGTGTGATAGCTATATTTTTGCTAACTCGTTCATAAGCAGTGTTAAATACGTTCTTAATCAGTTTAAACCCGTTTGCAATGAGTTCTACCTCGTTCTCAACACGTCCTCAGACAGTTCAACTCGTTGTTAAAACGTCCCTAGTAGGATTGAAGTACGACGGTTCCGTTCGTAGTACGTCCAGCTCGTCGTTAGTACGTTGTCACTCGCTCTAATTGTAGAACGTGACGACCACGAGAACATTTTGAGCATTGTCTAAGTTCTAGAGGACCTACCCGTTCGAGTACGTTCGATGAAGTTTGTAAATAGATCCCAAACTGTTCTTAGTACGTCCAGTCCGTTCGTACACAGTTGAAACCCGTTTTCGAGAACGTAGTGAGAACTAGTTTGGTGTGATAGTAGGGTTAACAAAATAATGTTTTCCTTGTGAGATCTCGCACAGTTCTTTAATATGCATACATTGTACCATGCATGTTTATCATAAATATATTATGCTGGTACACACTTTTACACAACATACACTCCCCTCCATAAGTTTGGCAACCCTAACCCCCCCCCCATTGGATTACGCGCTAAAACATATTCAATGTAAAGAAAATACTATTTTTAGTGTATGATATATAAATTGACATCATTTTGAATAGCTATAACAATAGCTCAATTTTTAATAACAATATGTTGGATATTGATGATAAATCTGATGTGGTTTTGAATATTGACATCCCCATGTTAAACCAATGGGAACGGATAGCTTTGTCGCAAGTCATTTGGCAGAATATCCATTTATCCGAGCAAAAAAAGTTAGGAAAAGTGAATTTGCAAACATTGTTTAACAAAAAATGAAATGTTTCTCAACATTTAACAAAGTTGTAGTCCCAAAAAGTCTATTGTTTTTCAAGGAACACAGGATGTGAAAAATGATTTTCAAAAAAGTCTTTGGAGCTCTCTAATTTTGATGTTCACAAAGTAAACTTAACACTTAATCAGTTTTTGTGGTTCAATTTTCGTCACCCTTACGTGTCTAATAGTTATGCAAATTAAAATATGTCTAGTAAAAGAAAATATTATCTGTGCAAAACAAGAAAAGATATATCACTTTTTGTGATTCTATAACATGCGGTCTATGGAGAATCAACCCTAACTAGAAGTCACATTTTGAAAAAAAAAATTAAGTTGATGAACAATTTTCGAAACCATAATTCTAGATGCACTTTTACTTGTAGATTTCAAATATTACATCATTTTGACAATGTTGACATTATTAAGAACATATAGTTTCTGTACAGTTACATATTCCATTAGGTATATTGACATCTGAAGGCTTGAACTGGACCAGGAGGATGAAGTAAGTCACGAGGATTCCAACAATCTAAAATATAAAAAAGAATCTGATTCACATAATCTGTACGATTAGAATGGCAATTCCCCGGGAGCAATTCTCACATAAGTAACTATTTAAGTATCTACACGTCATGGTTACGTTTGTGGTCATATGAATACGAAGGGAACCGAATGAACGAAGATTGAATGAAGAAGAGAATGAGAGACACAGTGTCCATGAGATGGGGGTTGTATTTCAGATACATGGATCTTATTACTTACGCTAAATACAAATGATTTATCAATGACGAATATTCCCGATACGCTTAAACCAATTGGAGATACTTTTAGCTTGCTAAGAAACATTGTCATCTAAAAGGAAAATATCATATGCATTTAAAAGCATTAATATGAATTATATATCAGATATCAAAGCGGAAAGTTATCTTGTATCGATATAATTATTTGTTCGATATATTTTTTGTTCTCTCTTACTTTTCCGTTTTTTAACTTACGCTGTACTCAAAGAATCGGTCGTCTTTGGAATATTTAACGCTGTGTAAGACATCGAGCGACTCGTGAGCCTCTTGATTTAACATGCCTCCACCCATGGCTATCACACCAAGAGTGACTAAACAAGAGATGACCCAGAACGCCTGGACGATACGGCTGAACGTGTCCGCAGTGTACCACAATATAACGTAAAGGATGAGGATGCTGTTACAGGAGTATACCATAATGTTAACAGTGTTATAGACAGAAAACATTTTGCTAGCGTGTTCCGTACATGCACAAATCCTGAGGTGACATTGCCTGAATGATTCCAAAGTTTCATTGATACGCTTATCATGAGTGATGGCTTGTGTAATAACGTTATTGAAATGTTTGAACCGTAACCAAACGCTCAAACACGCAATGAAATAAAACACTGATGGTAGAGTCCAAGCTGCTGATAGGTACATGTAGATTATGAAAAAAGTAAGTCTGATGACGACGTCAGACATCTCGTTTGTCTCTTTGGGTTCGTATGGGGTCAACAGGATAGCATCTTGAGATTTATGAATGAAAATCTCATAACCATAGTAACAAACGTTAAATATGATACAGATCCAGGCAATCACTGTATAAATTACTGCTCTTTTCTTTAGATACTTTGGACAACGGGGTATATTTAGCTCTTCTAATGGTAAGTCGTCATCGCTTTTCAACAGTGCTAGCATACGATCTGACCTCCCAAATGCCAAATAGCACAAGAATGACTGTGCCGTACAGGCAATGATCCAAGCAAACACCAAGATGCGCATATAAAGGAATGCTCCGAGTTCTACATCTTTCCGAAACATTGTAAGCATCCTTCCTGTATTTAATAACAAGATGAATGAGACTACTAGAGAATACACTCTTGACGGTGACCAACTTCTAGTCGGCGACTCTTTGCCATGAAGCTCATCCCCGTCGCTGGTATCACTCGAACGGCTGGTGCTCATCTTGAATACTGTACTGTGATATAATCCAAACATTTTCATGCTCAAAATAAGGGGTTTCAGATTTTGCATATGTTCGAACTTTTCAATGTTTTCATAAAGTTCCTTGGTAGTCACACTTGTGTCGATGCATTTGTTTCCTTTATTACGACCCCAAGCTTCTCTAATTTCATCGGTTCCATCATCATTAATCTTCATATTTGAAATTCTTTTGGCTCGTGTTGAGATGTGTTTAATTAGTTACCTCATCAAACTCACTGCATTGACAAATACATACAGTTAGGTTCACTAATACTTTCTAATACTAATACGCCTTTCCTATACCTGTAGTAGTACTCCAAATACCTTTATTGCGAATGTTAATATAAATGGCAATTAACTGAAATGGTCAAAGTCAATATTTATTATAATACAATTTCTGTCAAACAATAGTAAAATGTATTCCAACCATTACGCCATTAACCACTTTCGTGCAAGACCGAGTAAAAGGAAATACAATTATATTACACTATGTTCCAACTACTATTGAATATTGTTATGAGCGATGTGTTTTTTCTCACTGAAATGAAGAAGGAATCGAACTTGATTTAGAATGTTCAGAACGTCTGCCAATAGTAATTGCCCACTCCCTGAAAAAAGAATCGACAATTATGCATGTCGTGATCAAATTGCTAGTTTTCTGTTCTCAATTATAAAACATTGGCTTAATAATCTTTCTAGAGATTCTCTACAATAGAAACAATGTCTTATCCAATAGTATGGATCCAATGTGTTTATTTTATAATAATTTATCTCTCAAAGAACATTTTCCAAATGCACACCAAATATATTAGAGCTACGAAGTGACATTATGTTATGCCTGAGCCCATCTTATCTGCTGATTGCGATGGAAGGATAAAGACCAAGGGGGCGCGGCTATATCGCGATGTCGAAGTATATCAATTTACTTCGAAGTCAGTGCGTTCTGGAAATTTTTACCATGCCTCAACTTACTGGTTCGTTTTAGACACAGGGACTGGAACAGAGTGTAGTATTGATCCAAAAGAAAATTACCAACCCCACGATCTGTGTAACATAGAGAGTACCCTTTGTACACAGAGTGGTTGGTGGGGTAGGATCTCCTTCAAGAACAACTCTACTATCTGTTCCCGTGCCTTTAGTCTTAGATCTCTAAATGAAGACATCTACATACTTTTTGAATTAGATTTTCCTATGAAGGGAAACTATCTCATCATATCTAAAATTACTGTTTTGAGTCTTTCAGCATAATCAAAATTACATGTACAAATGCACGGGGGTAAAGCAGACCCGATGATGCAATGAGCTTGCTCGGCGGTATCATGACTGTGTAACGGGTCTTAATGTATAAGTGTGCTCGGCGGTAGGCTCAAACAACGCGGATCCTCAAAGCATGTGCCCATGGTATATTCGTGTTTTAACACCCGTGAAATGGCTATGTTGTTGTATTGTACATTCAAGTTCGAATTTATACCAGATTTAAGCAATCAACATATAATATATTTTGCAAAATTAGAATTTTATTGCAACTCTATACCAGAATCCCATAGTTCATACATTTATTCCACTATACCATATATAAACCTAGATTTATGTTACCATTTAAGCATCATGAGAAACCATGGCTTTTGAAGGCAGAAAGATGTGACAGTACCAGAATGCCATTTAAGAGATACAAGCAAATTATACAAATCAAATCACAATATGGTTCATTATAAATGGACTATGATTCACATCTTTTTTCTGTAAATATCAAACTCAGGCAAGAATCCTTTACTTGGCTGTTGGAAGTAAATGTGCTTCCTAAAATACATTGGAACTTCTCATACCATTGAGCTTACAAGATGAGCAAAATCTTTAAATTGTTTCATATTTAGAAAAATAAGGTTTTATACAAAGCTGTAGTCCATAGATAAGGTTACTGCAGGTTGCTTAGATTATATTCTAAGTCAAGAGGTCAAGCCATTTTCATATGCATTAGGAAAAGAATTGTATGGTTCTACTTTAAACTACCAAATATATCTCTCTAAGGTTAGTCACATCTTTGCAGCCAATCAGCAATGAAAATATAGAATTGAGCTGATTTCAGTCTTTCTTTCTGTGACAGTGCTACATGTACTTGTATATAATTGGTGATACACATGGTGGCTTTTTCTGAGCAGTAGAGAATACAAGTAAGCATTTGGTACCTCAAAATATATTGATCCACTTAAAAGGTGTACTTTAAAATTTATACAGTGTAAACGGTGTAAACAGCAGTATTCTACTTGAATCATTTTTCAAAATAACTTTGAAAGAATACGTAAAATAATAGAACCTGTTTTTTGAATTGTATTTATAAATTATGTTAAAAATGGGGCTTAAATTCACTAAAGCCCCTCAGTAGAAAATAATTGTACTGGCTCTAGGCAAGCCTCTTTAAATAGTTTCAGACTGTGATGTCTCAGATACAACTACTAAAAATACACCTGTTTTTCAATGGAAAATATCAACAATAAGTTACATATAATTGTCAGGAATCATTTACTTTCACTTCAGTCTCTTACGGAAACAAGTATTGAGACAGTGTTGTAAAAATCTTAATTCCAAATAGCAATAAAAAGGCCAACAAAATCATTTTGATTTAAAATTCAATAAAATACATGTATAAGCAGTTTTAAAATGCAGATGATATGGAGGACATTTGAATATCACAGGAAATGTAACCCTGGCTGTCTCAAACATTGTATCCAGGAAGTTTTTGTTCAGGCCTATGTTTTGTTGCATAAAATAAGGAAAGTCCAGCAACAGCAATATGAAATAATATCTGCCAGATATTGCGGAGTCCCCATACATAGAGATTGCACAGCACTAGCACCACAAATGTTCCAATATTCTTCTGTAGTGGGTATTTTATTGGTTTGTAAACTAAAATGTAGATCTGAAAGAAGAGTAAATTATTTATTAAAAGGACTTAAAAAGAACTATGTAAATATTTAAATGACAAATGGTCAAATCTTAAGCTATGATTTAAAAATACACAACAAATTTTAACTTCCTCCATCGATAAATTTTCGATTCAACACTTCATTTCTGTAAATATCGTGGCTCAACATTGCTCAGTAACCTTTCCAGAATTCTACTGGGTGCATGCACTTCGAGGATTTCAAACAATCTCATATTGTTTACTGCTAAAGTGAACATGTGTTTAGCTTTGATATTTGCATCAAACAAGATTTATAAAATCTAAAATCTCTATGATATAAGTTAAGGTTGCAGGGTTGATAAGGCTCATAATTATGTTAAATTCAACAAATATTCTGGAAACAATGTACTGGTTGCCTAGTGATTTATTTAATACCTTTACAATAACTACATTATATGCAAAATACTTATTCTGCTGATTTACTAGGGGTCTAATGATGGAGTTTTCACTTGATGTGAGCAAATACTTTCCTGATATTCTAGGTGAGTATCAATATTTGCTGGTATTGTTGCTATTGCCAATTGATTTGGTAATTGAGTTATATCGATCAATTGTGAAACCCCTAGTTTACACGTAATACTGAATATGTCCATTGTGAACCTGTGATATGTTACCTGAACTACACACGCTACACTGGCAAGTATAAAGCATAGACCAAAGCTGAATCCACTGGCCTCCACATACTAAAAAAATAAAGACACATAAACAATAAGTCTAAAGAAAAAAAAGTCATTGGACAAAGTGTGGCTCTAAAATATTCACGTTTTCAATATTGCAATTACGACTGGTACTTTGTAAGCATTTGACTGTGCAAATGATTGACTCTCCAATGACATTTTAATTTGGATGGATACTGAAAATGATTGGTTTAAACTCATGATGGCCCTAGCAATTCACACTTTAGGAAGCAAGAGCATCTCAATTTCAATAACACTTTTTTTGTTTTCAAGGCTATCACAGGATGAAAAATTACCTCCATGTATCCTTGGTTAATAACCCCTAGACCTCTGACAAGATTCAAGGCTGTGCAGAGTAAGGAAAGTACAATGGACATTGCTCCTAACCAGTCTACTGGTACAACTCTCTGTAAGGCACTCACTACAATAAAAACAAAACATTCAGCAATAAATATCACTTCAGTAATTAGCATGTGCCTCTTCATGTGCAATAATGGTCAGAAGAATTTTTTCTGTAATTTCATCATACAATATAATTTTCAAATCTCTATATTGGATATATGCTACACATAATGTTACCAAGTCAGTTTGAGGCTAGGGATATTGTGAGAAACACCAAACGCTATACTCACTTCTGCTTGTGTTCTGACTTGGCTGACCTCTATTGGGAAGAACTGCACCATAGTTGGTGGTTGGCTGAGGTGACATTCCATTTTGTAATAATGGCCACATATCTACCATCTGTATCTTATAAGGAGGTCTTAGTTTGATCTCAGTGTTCATGTCATTTAAGTTGAGTCTGGTGACCATGGAATGTGGGTTGCTGTATTTCTGCTTGGTTTTTTGCATGAATGAATCTGCAAGATAAAAAAATAAAGTAAATAGAATAAAATTAAGAATTAATACAATATCGAATAACACATTTGAAACATCAAAACCAATATAGGTTTATTGTACACCAAAAGTTCTAAAAAATTTGGGCATCTACCTACAGTAAATATGACAACTAATTGAGGTCAATATGCATTGGCCCAAAAGGCAAAAGTATAGTGTACCTACTACCTACCAAAATCAATATAAGTGTATGGTCTGACAAGAGTCTGTACTTCAGTATGATCATACGTCATTATAAACTCCCGTTGTATTTCTTCCAAGAAGCTGAATGCAAGTACAGATGGGTAGCTTCCCTCACACACTGTCATGAAGCACAGTCCAAGAGATGTGATATAGCTAAAAGAAAAGACATCATAAGAATAGGTGAAATTTATTCTAAATATACTAGAGCTTTCTCTGTATTACACATAGGGTGAGGAAAGCCCCATATGTTAGGTGAGAACTCTATTTGCAGGACTGCAAACTTCAATTCACATCTTCATCATTTGGTTCAGAATTTGAACACAGTTGAAAAATTCAGTTTCTTTTGTATGGTGGCCAAAAGTAAGATAACTCATTAAATAAATATATAAATAATAAATAAAAAAACTAATAGAACAAGTCATTTTATGAATCAAACTTTGAGCTAGATCAGTTTGTCTAGTTTTTACATGCGATTGTTCTCCTGACCCTGTATGAATACCCTGGGGGTTGTGCCAAAAAACACAGAATATATGTCAAATAGATATACTTTGTTTTATAAATAAACTACTAGAATTTCCGAAGGTAATACAATGTAATCATTTCTTTGGTAAGAAATGAAAAATTAGATTTTCACAAAAATATCCTGCCATTTTCAAAGCACCTTTGAAGAAAATCTATCCACCAGTATTTGAGTTATTTTCCGCACAGACGGACTAACGGATGGATGGATGAACTGACAGATGGATGCATGGAAGGTTTCACTACATCCCAACAATCTTCATTCATTGGGATAATTTAAAGAGAAAGCATGTTGTTTCACAGGTGGTTTAACTCTGCACCTGCTGCAAACAAATTTCAAATTTTTGAATTTTATAAGGCCCGTATCAGAGAAACGACACAATATTTGCAATCTACTCTAAATTGCCTTTCATTTGAGTATAATAAAGCTATACTTCAAAAACATCTCAAAATTAACATAAATATAGCAGAATATAATAGTGTGATAAGAACCAAGAATAACTGAACCCAAAACCAAACCAAGGGAGTTAAAAATGAACTGAACGGAAAATGTTGATATCGTTGGACCTCTAGTGTACATGTTTGTATGCACTTTAGAATGTACATGTACGGTATGTACATATACCTATAGTACATTAATTAATAAGGATTACTCACTGTATATCAAAATTTTCTTCAGTCACCAGTGTACATCTATCTGAAAATCGTTCCAAATTCTTTGATAATACTTTAGCCAGTCGTTGACTTTCCCTGAATCCTGGTCTGTCGTCAAAATCAGTTGAAGCTGACAGAGGCAATCCATCCTGAGCCCTACAGATCAGGGCAAACAGAACCATGTTCTCAAGGTCAACGATGTCCAGTTAGTTGAGTTCAAATGGCATTGGCAAAACTGCCCTAATTCACGTCACCATACTAGTCAATGGGCAAAAGGGCAAACGCCTGACTTTTTATCTCGAGTTATGGATTTATGTGGCCTCACTGGCCTATCTGAGGTTCTAAAGCTATGTCTAAGCTACATCTTGACACTAAACTCAATAGGGGCCAATCATCTACTTTTTGAAATAATTGGTCAATTGTGACACTACCCCCTCTCTCTGCAGACACAAATTGAAATTCACAAAAATGAAGGCAAAATTAATACGCCACTTGACTCGAAATTTTCCTTCAGATAACCCAAATAAACGCATTTTCAGAAGAAATGGCATCTTGCCATTGCAAAAAGATTACAACTGTGCCTACATACTAGCTTACTGACTCGTCATGATCACAATTGTGTTGGGACTACATTTATTTTTGAATACTACTTTTTTCTATTCAGCGGAAGTGACGTATTAGGGCATTTTGGCCTAATAGCCACATGGTTGGATGATTTCTGGCTTTAAATTGCGTTTTTCCAATTTACTAGAGTTTTTCAAGTAGTTTTGTGCAGTTTAAGAATATTCTGACAGCAATTATGAAAAATATGGCTACTTCATTACCCCTGGGGTCATTTTTCCAAGAACCCAATGGTTTTCCTTTAAATTTGACTAGTTTTTCATTTACATCATGAAATCCACTGCCTGATGGTGACATTTTTCAGTATCGTGTCAAGAAATTGAGTATTTTATTGCATATTGCGATTTTTAGCCAAAATCACTGAACCGTGAACCAGAAAATTGGACAAATTTGGCCCACTTTTTGGCAAAATCTTACTAAAATCATCACTTTTTCATACTTTATTCCATTCAACAACCTCCTGATTTGAAAAATGATGACAAATTTGATCAGTTTTGACTCTGGCCAAGAAAATTGGGACTTTTGAGATATTTTTTAGCTCGAATGTAGTCATTCACAGTGAACAAATACATCAAAAATTGACACTTAACTCACCAATTTCTGACTGCACCCCCGATATGAACCTTCTTTCTATACTGGAAACCATAAGATGGAAAATTCAATCTTTATGATGAATAGCAACTCGTTGGCTTCCCCATTTACGACTACAAATGACATTTAGGGGTCACTAAGGACAAAATTGTAGCCAAATATCGTCAAAATCAGTGGTTTTTGGGGTAAAAAGCGAAAACTGCTGATTCAGCAAAAACATTAAATTTGTTCATGAAAATTCTCCTTTTTGCCTCCGTCCAAAATATGTTTCACACTAATAAACTTCAATTCTGGGCGATTCTGAGTAGTTTTAAAAAATTTTGGTCACTTTCACATGTGACTAATAGGCAAAACTGCCCTAATTCACGTCACCATACTAGTCAATGGGCAAAAGGGCAAACGCCTGACTTTTTATCTCGAGTTATGGATTTATGTGGCCTCACTGGCCTATCTGAGGTTCTAAAGCTATGTCTAAGCTACATCTTGACACTAAACTCAATAGGGGCCAATCATCTACTTTTTGAAATAATTGGTCAATTGTGACACTACCCCCTCTCTCTGCAGACACAAATTGAAATTCACAAAAATGAAGGCAAAATTAATACGCCACTTGACTCGAAATTTTCCTTCAGATAACCCAAATAAACGCATTTTCAGAAGAAATGGCATCTTGCCATTGCAAAAAGATTACAACTGTGCCTACATACTAGCTTACTGACTCGTCATGATCACAATTGTGTTGGGACTACATTTATTTTTGAATACTACTTTTTTCTATTCAGCGGAAGTGACGTATTAGGGCATTTTGGCCATTGCTCCACATGGTTTAATATTTTGTTTATTAGCCAGTGAACTCAACAGAAAAAACATCTAAAAAAGTGTAAACATTTACACGCTGTGTTTTGTATATCCGATAATCACACTCTAGGTAATAGTTAAAGCCGTTAATATTACGTCATATGATCACATTATATTGTTAAGTGTCTTGGCACTTTCAATTAACAAATCTGCATGACTCTGAGAATTATATCACAACGTTTACACTGCCAACATGATTTTTGGGCGATTTTTAGTGACGAAGTATTTTCTTTCCTTCGACACAGAAGAGTACTTCCGCTCCGCGAAGTAACGTTGCCTGGTGAAATATAGTGCCATATATTAGTCCGCACGACATATAATCATAAATTGGCTACCCTTTATTAAGTGAAACGATACTAAAAAGCCATAAATCTTCTTTAGTCATTACATTTTATGGTCTAAGAATACAACTGAATGAAAATCAACAATTTGTCGACCGGATTATTTATAGAGAGTAAGGATCTTAAAAAGGTGTAATTTTCTAAACAAGATGGCCACCAAAATTTGGAAAATTTTACTTTTTCATTTAAAATAAAGTAATACAGGCAGTTTATATTCGAGAATCTTTTAAAATGACCCTTATATTTTATTGATGAGAACGAGGCATATTTTGAGAATATGGCAGCGACCAAAATTAGCAGAGTGTCTAATATAAATGGCACAAGTCAAAACTGGATGGACAGTTTTCAAATTGTTGAGCCACCGAAACGTCTTCCTGTTCCAAATCATCTGTTGGAGTCAAGTAAGTGATCTAGTTTGATATTGTCCGTGGGCTTGTTCTATATTTTTCTTCTGTTGGTCAGAGGAGGATATATCCCAAAGCTGAGTGATGCCATTGTTCGCTGTTGTTTTCTGAATCATGTCTACTGGCTCTACTGTATCATCTGAAGCAAAATGTTCCTCCTACTGCACATCAATGCATGGAACGTGCCAAGATTATATCCTTCAAATGATTGGTATTTTTAGGGTTTAGTGTATAGCTCATATGTTTATCCTATGACAACTGAAGTTTCAGCTACATACATGTACATGTAACAGTCATTGTACATTGTATATTCTCCCACTGTATACAGTATCTCCTATCCTGTATCTCCCACTCCAATATTCCCGGGAATATGTTTTGTTCCATCAATTACTCCGAAAATGGTCTGTAATTATAAACCAGAAATATTACCCAGATCCCAAACATCCCAAACATGATAATGTACATGTAGTAACATGTCTACTGTACATTAGCGTTCCTGAGTACATAGGCCGACGTACTATGAAATTGAACCTAATTAAAATAATTTGATATTCAGTGACATGGGCATGAAAATTGTGGACTTCAAGCAATCATCCCTGTCAAAAGTATCAAGGTGAACTAAGGCTGGAAGCCTTGTATAAACCAAATGCGCTGCTTGATGAGATTTAACTTTGAAAAGTATTTGTGGAAAAGGTGCATGTAAATAATTGTGAAAATAATACACTAGTCCTCCATAATCAGGATCTAAATATATTTTACAGATGTGTTTACAATAATTACTTAGCTAACAATCTCTAAGGTCTGAGTGGTTTTCTATCATATTTAAAGTGTCTTTCTAAGACTTAGAAGGAGAAATTTGAGATTTCGAGCCATATGTCTCAAGAAAATGCTCTTACCTTTCTAGTAGGATGAGTTCAGGTGCCAAAAACAGCTGATCAAAGGATATATATCATTTTCTAATTGAAAAAATTGCAGAGCCCTGCATTTTTAACACTGTTTTGACAGGAAGTCATACCCAAAATGAAAACTGAATAAAACAACATTTATCTTAAATGTAGATCAAAATACTCACTCAGACATGCAAAATGTTATTATAAGTAGTAATGCTGATCATATTAAAGAAATTAAGCATGTAAATAAGACTTTTTTCGTCCATGATTATATACATAAAGAATTTCTACCACTAGTTAGCTTTGGCAGTGTGGTGTAGTGGTTAAAGCTTTGTGCTTAGTTAGACTTTAATATCAAAAGATCTGGGTTCAAATCCCACGGGTGGAATATGTTTTTATTCTTTATTTTTGTTTTTTTTCATTTTGATCCACAATATTTCTAAAATAAATTTTTATATATGGTACTTAAACCATATTTAGCATTTCCAAGGGTTTTAATTTTCAGATGAAATCATAGAAAGTTACTTTAAATAAAAAAATTATTATCTTAGTGTTGAGTTTGGTATCGAGGGCCTCTGACCCTTTTATAGTACTTCGAAGCGAGATTTAGGACCTATGTATTCGAAGTATTGGTTTTCGTAGTAATGGCATTACCCCTGTATAACTAAAGTTCACAAATTAAGTATATAAACGTAAAGAGGCTTTACTGTAGTAAGGAAACAGAAATCTCTGAAGCAATTGAAAATCAGCCAAATGCTTGTCGTAGGATAAATTAGTAAGTTATATGATGTTTGATTTTGGATATGGGGTATACCCCTCAGAAAATATTGATATCAAACTTCTGTAATACATGTACATGTACATCTATATTTCCATCAGGATATATCCCATATACACCTCCCATTAATATTTAAAAGAAGTACATGTACATGTACTGTTACTGTACTTCTACCTAATTTGGCACTACATTTGGCAGCTACTTAATTTGACGGATTTGCAATATTACAACACACTAATGCTACTTATTTACTTGGTACTGAAATTACCGGAGAATCCAGCCGTGGCTTAATTTGGCAGGCTAAATAACAATTTGGCGGATCTGCCAGATTAAAACGGCTGCCAGATTAACTAGAAGTACAGTATTTTTCAATATGAGTGATGCATCACATTTTGCTTGCTTGTACTCTCTATTCAAATTTTTAACGTTACATTTCTTTTAATCTTTCAGAGATCTATTCAAAGATCGCCCAGAATTCTGTTGCACAAGCCAGACCATCAGTGATCCACTTTGGAGGATTTGACTTGAACAAGACTCAACGGTGTACACTCCACATTGCCAATGTCTCAACTGAAGTTCAGCGTATGCACATCATACCACCTCAGACAAAATATTTCTACATTAAATATACCAAAAATGTAAGTAAAAACTTAATATTCTGCTCATATGAACGTGTATTATGTAACACAGTTTTTGCAACTTAGACTGTCAAAAGATACATGATCACTTAATCTATTCTCTTTCAGATCTCTTAGAGAAACTGTTATTGCATAATGGACAATGTAATTGATTTAATTATACATAACAGTTTTAATATACATTTTGTACATATTTTTTTTAACTCAACATATCAGAATATTTGATATTTTTACTATATTGTAGGAACGTCTTGTACCAGGCCTCACACTGGAATGCACTGTTGAATTCACTCCTGATGAGTGGAGGTACTATTATGACTGCATCAGGATACATTGCAAGGTATGAATTTACATTCAAATACTAGTTTGTAAAAAGGAAGAAAGTCACATTGTATTGTATTGTTAAGATGGAGTGGCCTGCTTAAATGCCAACTAAAATAATACATGTACATTGTAGGCATTTAGCAATATGATTTACATGTATCTTGAAATTGATTTTTTCTGGTTCTTGAATAATGTTTTGTGTAAATGCACAACAAACTTAAATTATTGCAATAAAAAACAAAACAGATAGATTATTGCACAACAATTTCCAATAAATTATTCAGAAGTAAATATATCTTCACACTCTAACTGCATGCCAATTAAATCATTTAAAATGAAGAGATTATAGCTTATATAGAAAGAAACATTTGTTTCAAATATGGGCATTTTAATAAAATGTTTATTGCATTGTTAATTCAAATCAGATGTACATTATACTAATGTGTCAGTATAATATGTGATTTTAGGGAGAGGAGAACCTTGTTATACCTATTCATGCATACCCTGTCATGAACACTTCAGATTTTCCAACTATTGTCAACTTTCCACCAGTTCCAGTAGGACATCGGTAATTATATCATCCCATAAATATACAAATTGTTACATTTAAGTCATGCAAGAATTATCATTACCGTAGGCCATAACCATGGGCAAATTCAATGGCCATAACCATATCATAGTTCAATTATGTTACTTTAACTCATACTTTTGGGTGGGCATCATGATCCCAGTCAGATACAATTCATTTTTACCACAGTAGACTAGAAGGTATGTACCATTTGATTCATTTAACGGAGTCCTTCCCTTCTTAATCCTACTGATCAAGTTGTTTTATTTTATTATAATTTACTTTCCAGGAAATCTAGAATCATTCCTCTGAAATGTCATGCTCCAATAGACTTTGAGTTCCAGTTAAGTTTCCAGCAGCAACACCCAGCCTTCATAGTAGAACCTATGTCAGGTTAGTGGAGTGGTCCTTTATATTCTGTACATTTTGGAAAATGGGCCTCAATCCAAAAACAAAATGATCCCATATGGGCCCCAGTATCCAAAAGGACTCAACATATTTCTTCATACAAGCTTAAGATTTTCAATATAAAGTGATTCAGCCTCTTTCTCAATTACCCTTGCAGAAGATTCTAATTATTTGCAATTCTGTGCATCTTGCAGGTACTGTGCCTGCTAATGGAGAAATAGACATTGTAGTGACCTTTGCTCCATCAGAATTTGTAACTGCTCAAATGAAACTACAGTTATCAATATCACAGTTCAACTCCAAACCTTTAGTCTGTACATTCACTGGAACATCTTCCCCTGGATTAGCAAGGTAAATGATGTATATATTGATTAGGTATTTTAGAAATGAGTACATGATGAGATTAAGTGATATAAATCTCTGCCAAATCCTATGTTATTTCATAACTTTTATTACATAGAATCATAATTTAGAACTTTAATTTTTGTATGAACGATGAATCTTATGATATTTTATAATGAACACTGACTATACATGTGCATTATTGAATTATTTTAGGGAATTAAATGAGAGCTCTTCACATAAGGAGTCTGATGGTTCCACCACTGAGTCAGTATTAGACCCCCGGGTTCTCTCACCGATTGACAGAGCCAGGCGGAAAAAGAAAACCAAAAAGAAGTCCACTTTAGGTTCCATTGAAAATAGGCCTCAGGTATTTTAATTATATTTTAACTTTCCCAAATTTTTATCTCTTTGAAAGGAGTAATCCACTAGATGCGAGTAGAAGTTAAATAAACTTGATTTACATCATTAAATGATCAAAATCAACTACATCTAATAGTAAAGTTTCAAAAATTCTTTATCAACTTTGAAAATTTAATTTTTTTTGAAAATGTGACTTCTAGTTTGGGTAGATTCCTCATAGACCCCATCTTTTAAAGAGAAATATCTTTGTATTGGACAGGTCATATTTTCTTTTAGTGGACATATTTTAATTTGCATAACTATAGATACATAAGGGTGATATAAAAATCGAACCTCTAAAACTAATGAACATTCCTGTTAAAAGGAACTTTCTACTATAACCACCATGCTATCTGACCTGAGCCACATGGTGGTGAAACTGGTACCTACGTACCTACTCACATCCGTGTTATTAAAAAGAACTAAACAGATGAACAGAGTGGCATCATTTAATTTCTTAAACATTGTATAACTGTAACCCAAGAGCTGATAAAGTTACCAGAAGAAATGTTTGTTACTTTTGTAAGCCATGCCGTTTCTATTTTTTGAAGGAGGTTCCAGCAGATAATAATGCTGAAATGATTTGTATATCACATACATATTTTTTGTGTTTGTTTTTCCAGGAAATTGAGCATGAGGGTATTAAATTTCCCACTAACCTACACACACCATTTGCTGTAGCTACAGTTCTTAACCAACAGGCTGGCAAACTGAGGGTCAAAGATCTCAGAGAAGGTATTATTTTAGTTGCGATGCATGCTCTATTCTTCTTAATTGAATACATATTAAATAATACTAAAATATTTTTGTCTAGAAACCATAATGAATTAAGAAAGCACAAATGGCAACATTTGAAAAGAAAACTTGAAAAGAAAAGAAAAACAAATAAGAATTAGTATGAAAATACAAGTACAAAAAATTGAGTTTTTTATCATCTTTACATGTACCCAGCATGTAACTGATTATTTTGAACATTTTGATGATAAGACATTGCATAATAAGCTTATCAACTGTTATTTTCCAGCAATTTTATCCAAGAATTCAGGGGATTCCCCTAATACAAGACAAATGAAGGTAAGGTATTATTTGATTAATAAATTTTGCTAATTATGAAAAGCTAAAAATTGAAAGAAAGGAAAAAGCAGAAATTTTAAATCAACTGCATTATACACTAAATGTGTACTATGATGACTGTAGATAAAGGAATAAACATCATACTGATACATATTAAAAAAACATATTTTGCTCTGGCAAGTCTTTTCTTCAAATGTGAGCAATCAAACTAAATCTTATACTGCTACTTATAGGAGGCAATATTTGAGCAAGCTATGAGGCAAAATGTTTATGAGGAGAGGCAGAACCAGTTAAGGTGGCAGAAAAAGATAGGAGATGACCAGATATCACCAGACCAAAGACTGTCTATATCTGAACAAAGATCTGATGCATGGACTGCTTACAAGGTAACATAGACATACTTAAATATCTGAGTCACTCAGATTTAATTTGAAAATCTTAGGGTAGGATAAGTGATAAAATCCTGTAAAACCTGTCTTAGTGAACACCTCTCTCTGGTGAACACCTGTCCAAAACTGAACATCAAAAAATATCCAATATACACTGTGGTTTTACTGTTGTTTAAAAACCTTGTTTCATCCACATAATCGTTTCATGATTGTTTATAATTATCACACAATGCTATAAACATGTACCTAGCAATTATTATTATGTCATGATAAAATATCACTCTGCTCCTAGTTCAGTTGAAAACAATTTCTTCACAAAAGTATCGAAAAAAGGTGTTAATGGTGTAGGATTCGTAAATTGAGATTCTCCCTATGTTTTAGTTGAAGAGAGGTGACCCTCTTGAAGAGAATGAGTACAACAGGACATGTACTGAGTGTTCTTTTAGACGCACCATCAGAGATTCTAGAAATGTGAGTATGAGTTTATACTGGTCATTTTGATACCTCTTTTTATTTAGCTACATGTATTTGGCTGATAGTTCTTATATAGTTAATATCAATACACTGTACAGTATTTCAAATCCAGTTAACCTCTTGACTACCCAGTGTGACGAGATTTCTCGTCACCTCAGAAATGACCTTGGAACCCAGAGTGACGAGATAATCCGTCACAAAATATTTCACCAAAATTGCTCTTATTTGAACAATTTTTATCCAATTTACACAAAAATGGTTTTAAAATGTCTAGAAATGATATCTACCGTCTAATTTTACTGAATTGAACATCGTCTGTTGTATATGTATGTAGTAAAATGTGCTAAAAAAATGTGTGTAAAATTATCTGGTTTTAACCTTTAGAACCTGGGATTCAAGAGGTTAAGATTTACTATGTCACCAGTTGAGCAAAATGTTGAGATACGGTAAGACACTTGGGCAGTCTGCGTTATGTGGTACTACATAGGATATCAGATCACCAGACAATTTGATATGCATGTATACTGAATTGAAGCACATCTTGTTGCAGGTTGCGCCAAGTGTAGCACAGTTTGACACATACAGTAATGACATGTGGGCAGCTAGACATGCAGCACTACATAGGTTCTCCCAGGCTGCAAGGACATTGATTATCAGAATGAGGGGAGAAGAAAAATTGAAATATTTGAGGAATGCTATGGCAGGGTGGAAGAAAAGTAATCAATCTCTACAAAAAAGAGGTAATGTAATTCATATATTTGACACATGCACCATGTGTGCGTAATGTGTAGTCTAGCTTACATTATACTAGATGCGTTTTCAATTACAAAATCAAAACTCAAATGTGTGAAGTCAAAGAAATACTATTGCTATGTCTGAAATCAAAGTAAGTACTCATTATGTAATAAATCTATGTTATATTTTGCCTGTCATCAAATGTTTGTTTCTGTTTTCGTATGATATTTAAAATAGCACTCATTCTCATTATGTATGTTGTATCTTGCCTCTCATCAAACGTTTGTTTCTGTTAGTATGATGTACATGTATTGTATGTTAAAAAAAGTTATGGTTTAAACGTTTTTTTTATAAAAGGAATTTTCTCCCGGTCAAGTTTTGCTCCACTAGAGGGTAATCATGGTATTTTTGTAATCATGTTTGATTGTAGCTTCACACTGTAGACATCAGATACTTTTATTTGAACGTTTTTCTAACAATAATTGAAACAGTGTGTTTAGATACTTAAGGATTGTGTATAACAGACATATTTACCATACTCTCGATACTGACTATCATATATGTATATGAGTTTTTTCAAACAATAAAGTACATAATTTATAATTTTTCAGTGTTCTAAGTCTGTCCTAAATCTCTTCTAATATAGTGTTGAATAATCAGGCGATTCATTCAGTAGTATATTGTCATGATCTAAGAGATCATTGTATGGTATTGCAAGTGATTTGTACAATATGTTGAAAAATATGTATAACTTGACAATAAATTTGATATGTTTCACTTTGTGTTTCCATCCAAGTTCCTGGGATAACAAGAGTATCAATCCGACTCTCTGAAAAGCTTAAGATTAAGACCCTCAACACAGTTTTCAAGATGTTGAAAAGAAGACACTCTTTTTCTAATCTTTAACATTATCTAAAGTATCTATGACATTATGTTAATACATTTTAAAGAGGAGCAGTGTTCAAATGTGATAAAGTTGAGTTTTAAGATCCTACATGTATATCATGATATTTTTGAAAACTCATGTTATTCATTGTTTTCAGTCTACCTTGGTCACCAAAATATAATATTTTCAAAATAAGACTTTCAGCACCATTTTACATTTTTGTTGTACTTTTTTTATAATCTGTTCATGCAACAAAATTGAAAAAAAGATGATCTTTTTGAGAGATGATTGTAACATTTTGAATAACCCGTCGAGGTGGGGTTTTAATCTGTAAAAATTGCATTGATAATTTCATTATCCTGGGAACTTCAAGTGGAAGAAAGTGTGATTTTAATGAAAATGTCATACTATAGTGTGAGAAAATACTAGTGGTCAAAGATAAAATCACCATGTCATACCATACATATACCTTAGTTTGTTGTTCTAACTATATTGTGTAAAATAACAATGAAAATTTAATGTGTCTATTTTCTAGTGGTAAATATGTGTACTGTTTTCAACTTGCCATAATCTTTTTATAAATGTTCATTTGTACACTTCATGAAATTAAACTGTTGATTATGATATAAAATGTATCTCTAAATCAGTTTTAGTTATTGAAGGCTTTAAAGCCACCATGGGCTTTCAATCTGTTAAAAGCCCATGAGTTTTTTTTGTAATCTGTTAATTTGTGAGGTAATTGTTCTCCCTATAGCATTGTTAAATCATTGCCCTGGAATTGAAACAATCAAACTGAGATTTTGAAGTTATGAGGTTTAAAAAGAGTATTTAAAAGACAAAATATGATAAATTATAACTTTATAAATCATCATGTTAATATTCTGTACCGATTTTCCCCAAAAATTATGAAGTATAATTTTGTATGTGTACAATTTTTATTTGATAGATGAAGATGGTGAGGAACTAGAAGTGAGGGACTTAAAGTTTGAAATGGTCACCTTGCCTCAAGATGCTGACATTAAACTAACAGTGAAGGGTGTGAAACAGACAACATTTCCAACATATGTGCCTCCTAACAAGAAAGATGACATGGTAGGCCAAACTTTAATGAGAATGAATAAATATGCCAGGGAGTTCATAAACCCTACTGTATTAAATCAATATGAATCATATCAACATATAATTTCTTAGGTGAACCATTTTATTCTAAAGTAGATATCTGAATTGTTCCTACCTTGAGAACACCCTCAGATTGATAGATCAAGTCTTTGCTTTATCTTGTATGAGTACTTGTATCTACACCTATTTTTGAGGTTATGAGTATTGGCTATCAGTTTCTAATTTTTTCTTCAACATGTATTGTAATGACTTCAGTATGAATGAAATGTCCCTTGGTCTTCTGGTCTTGGATTGTGATATTGGTTCTTGAATGGTGGGGGAAAGGTGGTATTAGACATTGCTTCTATTCACGTTTGATCATGGTTTTGGGCTATATGGGGTTTGTTTTTCTTGACTGGTATGCACTTAGAGTTTGCTTTTTCTTGCTAAGTTCCATTACAACTTTTGGTCTTTTCCCTTTGGCACTAGTGCTTATATATTTATGTATTCCAAATAATCCTAATATTGTCATATTATTTCCAGGCCCCAGATGCATTGGGATCTGTACCATTTGAGCCAACCTGCGTAGACATCAAGCGGAAAGTGCCCTACTTCAGTCTGAAAGTTCCTCAGCAGTACAGACTTATGGGCTACAAGCAGCATAATGTGCAGGAGGCCCTACTCAACTATGTACCAGCAAACCTAGTCAGGACCCTAAGAAATGGAGCTGAAGTGAGTCATAAATGCTCAAAATTGACATAACATTTGACATTAAAACAGGTTTATAATTATATTTCATTGTGAGAAGGGATAGTGAAAGTTAACCAGAATAAGAAACTTACATGACTCTTGTGCGTATCTACATATGTATAATGTTTTGCTTGTTAATTCAAAGTGCATTCAAGAGTTTAAGCTTCAGGTAAAACTATTACACATTCTTTCCTCCAGGATGAACTTATTCAGCTCCCAATGAAAGACCTGCCAGAGTTAGAAGACAGAGATGATGCACCTGTAAATGAAGAGGACATGAGAGTTGAGTCTGTGATTGATGATGCTACAATTGATGATGCAAAGCCTACCAGTCTAGCACCACCAGAAGCATTGTTTCAACCCATGGAATACCCACCTTTGCATATCTTTGTAAGTACATGTTATGTTCCAGCCCCAAAACTTTATTAAAATCATGCAGTTTTTCACCATCCTTAGCACCTTTCTAGTGATTTTGGGCCAAAATTGTCAAGAGTAAACCTCCTAGAATTTTTTGAAAGTGAACTGCTTCGGTAAAAGTTGTCTACGGGCCTGTGTTCAATAGCATATTAGAACTCTGAATTATTGTCTTTTTCTTGCAAATAATCCTAAAATAAATGCTGGAATAAACTGGTTTATAAAATGTTTACACAATCCACTTTTGCTATTAATTAAGATCCTGAGACTTGGTCTTAATATTAGAGAATTAGGGTGTTCTTTGAACCACTATAACATCCTAAAGATGATATTAATACTGTGTATGATCCTTGTTTTTGTAGAATCAGGCACCAGGATTGCAGGTGTTCCTAGCCCCCCTCCCCTATGCTGAGGTTGACCCAGACTTCCACCTGTGTCCATTACCTCGCTACACTAGCAAAGCCCCTGGGCCACATGCTGCCACCCAGAAGAAGTACCTAGATAGAGAGGTACATGTAAACTTGTAATTTGCATGAGAGTCTGATACATTTGTTTTAACATAATTCAGTAATGTCCACAGTACTGGACCACTGAAGTAATGCCCACTGAAGTGGGCATTAAATTCGAGATTTTGATTACAGTATAGACTTTTGCTAACTTGAAAACCAATTTGCACCTGAAGGAAGAAATTATGACATATTTGGACCGAGACAATGTGAATTTCGCATCCACTTGCCATCCAAATCCAGGGAACAAGACTTCTTTATACCAAACACAGTAGCAACTTGTACATGTAGTGAAACAACATAAGACACTTCAAAATATGACTTATGTCATAAACATTGAATGCAAAATGATGTTTTGAACATGTAACATAACCCACCACCACACTTGTGAAGCCACTTAGTTATCAATTGTTTCATTCTCATTCAGGATGTTATAAAAGGTGTGATGTCTTGGAAGAAGTTCCCCTCCCAAGGACTGACCTCTCTCTCAAACACTCCAACACTGACAAATGTGTGGGTGCCTAGATGGTAGGTAGTTTTAGTGCTTTAACCCATATAAATGATGAACATGTATTATAAATAAATTATATTATGAATATAGGATCAAAAACAAGCCAATGTTCGTATTGATCAGATTCAGTAGTCTTGAACATAATTTAGACTTGATTCAGCACTCTGTCTAATTCAAACGTTGGGCCACACTAGAATGTACACCGAATATGTTTTTAATGTATAGAGCACTGTGATGTGTTGTAGGACTGACCCTCTAGGATCTGATATGTTGCCTACCAATGTACCTTGGCTACTGGACAGTCTACCTGACGATGAGAAGGAAAATGTGGCAGATACTGACAGGTAAATATACTTATCACATATATGCTCATTTATCTTCGATATTCATATGTAGTTAGGGAAGGTATCCATGCATATGTTGACAGCTGGGGAAAATAAATATATTTTTATCAAATGCTTTAAACCTCATATCCCCCTAGAAAATAGAATTTGAAAACATTATTTGCCAGTCAGTTTCAACATTTTTCAATCCTTCATTAACCCTCTCACCTAAATATTTAATGCTGTGTGTTACAATATTACTACACCAACACTACTTTATTATATGACAACCTTCACCTGGCATATCTTTTCCAGTCGTGAAGAAGATGGGGAAACAGAGGATGCAGTGACTCTAACCCCAGAAATGGTCAATGCACAGTTTGAACTGATAAATCCTGCAACAGCCGGCACACTTGCCACAGGAGGGCAGGATAAACCATCATCGGATATGTTCCCATATGGTAGCAAGATGCCTGCCACTAATGTACCAGTCTCTAGTACAGGGCCTGTACCAAGGTATGCTATGTTTGTGTGCTTTTGAATTCTTATAGGCACAAAGATTCTTCCCAGAATGTACAAGAGGTATATGTACAAAGATGTAACTGATACATATTCAAAATTTCGGCTTTATTTTTATAATGTAACAGTTCATAATTTATTTAATGGAAAATGGTAAAATATGAGATAAGAAATTTAGAAACCTCAAAAACACAAAACACCAACCATGTTCGAGATATGATAGCGTACCAATATATTCCACTCTCAATAGATTATTACAGTATGCAGCTTTTACACCGCATAAAATGTTCAGTCTATCACAAAAAGAAGTGTCTCCCAATTATAATTCCTAATAAGTTGCATTGCAAAATAGAATAACCATTTCTATTTTATCTTTTTTTCAGAGAGAAACGTGAACAAGAATTGGACTATTTCTTAAATAAAAAATATAATAAACTTGGATCAAAAATGCAGGCCAGAGTAGAACAGATTAACTCTTTAAAGACTAATCCTGATTTCATTTTAAAATGAAAACATCATGAAAACACAACCTTGAAAGGATACATTGACATTCTATGTTCAATGAACTAAAATGAAAAGTAAAGTAATGGCTATGCAGTAATTTAATTGATATATATTCATAGCCCTTTGTACATAATCTGTAATTGAAACTGTATATATATATACTGTACATGTACTGTATTTCTAATCTGTAATATATTTATGTTTTACCTGTACATTTTGTTGCATAAGATAAATAAAACTGTATTATGTATAAGAATGTTTTAAATAAAAAATATGAAATACAGATGTTTATGTAATTAATAAAATACTTTGTCAAATACAGAAGGGTTTTTATGTTACCCCACAAGTTGTGATATATTGTTATAATCTCCAAATTTTTCGTGTCGTCGTCCGGCGGTCGCAGTTCGGCATTCAGCGTCTGTAACAAATGACAGATGGTGACATTTTGCATGTTAATCGCTAATATGTTGCAGGGATAACTTCTTTGTTGTAAGCCAATGGCTTTTCTTTCTTTGTGTTTCAACACGGAACTGAACTCAAGGAGGATTGGTAGCCATGATTCAAACACGTGTCAGTGCTAGTTAATTACTAGCACTGACACGGGAGTTTGAATCTAACCTTGATACTCGTTATCTTCAGATTAGATACTGTACGTTGTCCTAAGATGAACTTTATAGAAATGTTACCTTGGCAGGCGATTAAAGATAAAACTGTTTGGAATCATATCTTCCTTGCCATTGTTTCTTTCTGAATATTATTGTGACGTCATAGATACGCGTGATTGGAAGTTGTGAGATGGCAGGTTTCCATGGGATCAAATTGAAACAATACATCTTGCGAATTACAAAACAAATGTGATTGTGGTTTATTTATCATCAGAAAACACATTTATTTGACGCATTATATGAAAAATGTAAATTCGCTTTCTCCAATTTGATTTTGATTTTTTTAATTTAAAATCATGGACACATGATCGATTATTACTTTCTCTTGCATTAATTTCTATAAATAAAACATGAGTTGTTATGAGATTAGGTAAGAAGTCACATGTGGTATTGTGTATATGATAACAATTCGAGTGATGTCACTGTGTCACCATGGTCTTAAAAATTAAAAACAAAACTTGTTTAAATATTTATTGGAACTTGTTGCTTCTCTTTAGACATACGAATATGATGTGGCATATCTCCTTTACTGTATGTGTATGGCATTCAGGTAAGGTGCATCTCAATATTATAGATTACAGGTATAGATTGATAGTGATGATAAATAATATTTAATACAATAGGCTATATAATCCTATTCAATTGATATTCCACAGCGTTATTTTATTGGGTCGGAACAAATGCTGATAACTCGACATCCAGGTCTTCCCAAGATCTTATGTCACCCTCCTCTCATACTGCGCCATCCTTTCTTCCTATATCTCCGGATATATGTACATCAGATCCCCATTGCCTTCGTAAGAAGCGCCTGTTGAACGAGCTGAGAAAGAGACGGTCACTGGATGCGATACGCCTGGGTGTGAAGATAAGACGGAAGAGGTACAATTACGCAGATTACCACGATTGGGACGAAGATCCGGGAAATTATGATTATGAAGTAGGAAGTTAAATATTGTATAGTAAATTATAGTTAAAGATGTACTTTTTGCACTGTTGATAAAAAGCAGTTAGCTTTTTTATTTGTTTATATTTGACAATGTTGATTTATTCGGTATACTTATAAACACAACCATACTGTAAGTTTTTGTTATTGTTTTCCATTTTTATTAGAAATGAAGTTTGCTTTAACTTGCTGCTCACTGAACATACTGTGATGACATCTTTGGTTTCAGGATCCCAAAACCTCTATGTCTTATGTTGACAAAATTAAGGAAAACGGCAACGCCATAATTACACTGACCGCCATAGTAATGGGGATATTGATGTGCTGCTTCGTGACCTGTGTCCTACCTTGCTTGCGTTTCTGTGGCGAATGTTGCAGTTGCTGTAAGACCAATTGCCTCATGTGTTATGACTGCATTGTCTGCAGAGATCCAAGTGAGTATGTTGTAATAAGTATTACTAATAATTAATTACAAGACTAAATAGTGCGCTTTTGGTATGTACGAACATGTATTTATCATACAATCTACACGTATTTGATTTGGGTACCCACTCACTCTTTAAAATACGATACTAACTACTGCTGTCGATGACAGGAGTTCGCATATATAAGATGTATTTTGTATTGTTTAAAGAGGTGGTGTTTCAAAGGAGCACAATTAGAGTACATCTGAGTCTGATGTATTTGCATAACCGCATTTAAATCATAGTTTTAATCGCCGTTGTCTAACATGTCAAATTGAATGTTATATTTCTTAAAATAATCGCAACTTTTCAGAATACCGTATTCTACAGAGTATTGGGGAGAAGACGGGAATGCAGATGCCGGACTACAACTCCTATATAATGATGCGGGAGGTCTACGGTGAAGCAGCAAAGGAAGTTGCTCAAGAAGCTGCTCAGGGAGGCGCATTCTTTTGATCGCTAGTGGATATCGCATCTTAACCCAAACGAATCGTTCATCTATCATTACATATTTCTCCAGCATTAAACTACGGACCCAATGGACAACAATTAATCTAACTTCATCTCATAAAACACAGAGTACGTGTGGATATTCTTATGTCATCACAAATAAATGATGACATGTTGATAGTCACCGGTTTACTTGCAGGCGCTCGCCCGCGTTTGTTGGCCAGTGTCTGTAACGATTGCTACACTTTTGTAATCTTTTGCAGTAATTCACCAGATGGACGTGACATCTTGTCGTGTTCACGCCATGTTTGTAAGTGCACACAAACAGTATTTAGAAAATATACGTATATTTTTAATTTGTCATATTAGTACATTACGAGTATTACTAAATAAGTACATTTTATCTCGTGTTGCATTTAATAATGAATATGATCAGTGATCTCCTCAGGATTTTCTCAGCTCATATGGGTGCAAAATTCTCATTTTCACAATTCAGACAAAAATTGGTCAAACTAATGCCAAGTTTTCTCATTTTCAAGTTGGTGCAAATATATATTCAGGTGGGTGCAAGCCTATTTCCGAAATCTCAGGTGGGTGCTGCGCCCACTTGCTTTAGTGCTAGGGAGATCACTGAATTGATATTAACGGCTTTTATACAAACGCCTTCTATCATGTCTATGTAGTCTATGTTTTGAATCAAAATTAACTTCCTCTGTATGTGGAATAAGCAAAGGGGCTTAGCAGAATTGGTACGTGATGGTGGCTTTTCGGGTCCATAACTGTAAAGGTTGTCTGAAAGCATGTACAAAGATAACACATAAATACAATGCTTAGTATTCTGCTGACAAATACCTATCAAGTATTATCCTTACTACATTGTCCCATATCTGACTAACATTTCCCAGGTAAATTACTATTTATGTGGCGTGATATCTAAAAAAGCATTGAAATAAAAGTTGAACGCTTTCATAAAATATTAATGCGGATATAAAAGATATAATATATAAAAGAACACAATGACATGAGAAAGATATCTGGATATCGAAGTTGCATGCTGTATCGTGACTCACACTTTCTCGTGCTATACGAAAATATCAAAATATCGAAAAATATCGAGAAAACCACTGACCTCCACGTAAGGATAGAATGTTTGCATTCCCAGTCTATCAAAATATTCCTTCGTCTCAAACTTCAGTTTGTAAGTTGCTGCGGTGAATTGTTCATCAGTTAGTAACCCTGGAACTCTACCATCAGAGTTTGTCACGCTGTAATAGATGAACATACAGTAATTCACATCGTAATAATAAAAAAACGCACCCACAAATATGTCTTCCTCGTCCAATAATTAACTTTTCTTGGATATACTTATTAACGCGGAGCTCATGAAGATGATGTGAGACAGAGTGTTACTAAGTCAACGAAGTTAACATCAAATGTGGGGGAGGGACAGGGATTTTAATTAACTGATGCCATTGACACAGGGTACGTACCAAATTAACCGTGACAGTTGAACGCGCGGGGTACGGTACAACACGAGTGTGATCAAATGTTAGCAAACAGATGTTTTCATCTTTTCAGAAAGATGTGGTCTAGTTTCTAGATATTTTTATATGTGAATATTGTTTTATCATCCAAATCGTATTTGTCTTAAAATCAGAATCAACCTTTTTTCGAGTTACATTTTCAATCTTCTTAATTGTTTAACAAAATCTTATATGGATGTACACTACATATGCACCGGTGTGTAAAGTATTAATTTTCTTATGATAGACGCTCGAGACAGCTCAAACATTTTAAATAAATTCACGATTTTCGAACAAAATCTTTCAAAAAACAACATTTTGAAATTAAAGAAGTTTCACGTGTCTCATTTTGATGACAAGTGGGAGGCTTACAGTATTAGCGAAAATGGTTTTAACTTTACACGAGAATATACAAAATAATTTTACAATCACATACTCTTTCTTGATGACCACGAAATCATCCCCTTGTAGTTTGTACAGTGTGACAGCAATACCATCTCCAGGGAGTCCTCTACTATTGTCTAACACGTGAGTACTGAGTGGGCTAGACATAGTTCCTGAAACAAACAATTTAGAGATACAGCGTGACAGAAATACCATCTCGAGGGAGTCTTCTGCTGTTGTCGAGTACTGAGTGGCCTAGACAAGGTTCCTGAAACAAACAAATTAGAGATACATGTACATGCAGTGTGACAGCGATACCATCTCAAGGGAGTCTTCTGTTGTTGTCGATTACTGAGTGGGCTAGACAAGGTTCCTGAAACAAACAAATTAGAGATACATGTACATGCAGTGTGACAGCGATACCATCTCGAGGGAGTCCTCTGCTGTTGTCGATTACTGAGTGGGCTAGACAAGGTTCCTGAAATAAACAAATAAGAGATACATGCAGTGTGACAGCAATACCATTTCAAGGGAGTCTTCTACTGTTGTCTAACACGTGACAGGAGCGTAGCCAGCTTTCAGTCAGGGGGGGGGGGGGGGGGTGCGATCGCCGAAAATTTTTCAGTTTTCGGTCAGGGGGGGTGCGATTTTGCCATAAGCAACACAAAAAATTAAGATTTCTTTTGAATTTTACAAAAATTGATGCAACTTCCTTCAAAATTAAGCTAGAAGCTTCAAATAAAAAGCATTTTAAAGCACTTTTCTACCTCTATCCAATGGTCATATTTTCAAAGGTTATGGGGGGGGGGGTGCGATCGCACCCATCGCACCCCCCCCCCCCCGGCTACGCCCATGCGTGAGTACTGAGTGGGCTAGACATGGTTCCTGAAACAAACAAATTAGAGATACAGTGTGACAGCAATATCGTCTCAAACTGAGGCTCGGGTGTACAGTAAAATAAAGTTTCTCGTGTTTTACATCTATCTTGTTTTGTTACATCAATTATTCACTCATTTGCATGAGTAAGTAGCTAAGATAGTAAAAGAGTATAGGCATTGCCAACATTAGTACACTGGGGGATTTTTAAACATTTTATAACGTGTACTAGTATGGCAGGCCTCAGATCTCAAAGGAGTCCCCCACTGTTGTCTAACACATGAGTACTGGATGTGCTAGACATGGTTCCTGAAACAAACAAAAAATCAGTGTGACAGAAATACCATCTCCAGGGAGTCCCCCACTGTTGTCTAACACACGAGTACTGAGTGGGCTAGACACGGTTCCTGAAAGAAACAGAACAAGGGACATAGTGATACAATAGGGAGTTAGCTTGCAATATTTTTATAACCTAAACGAGAACGGAAAATATTTAAGCGATGCATATGCATGGGCGATTGGTCATACGTATAGGTTGGCGTTTCGATTTCCTTAATGTTGCAGCATATTTACCATGCAAGGAGTCTCCCAACGTTGACTTACACATAAGTAATGAATGGACGAGTGGACGAGCACATTGTAGTACTGAGTAGTATTTCATAGCAACACTATGAATCACGACTTTAGAAAATTCAAGAGTTAAAATATACACAATAACTAGCTATAGCTTCAAGAAGAAGAATCTGAAGTGTAAAGACCTTCTACTATACCTCCAACGTGTGCAGTTATAATTCTTATTCGTTCGGAATTTTTCTGTGTACCAAGGGGTTCCATTAATAGTTTAATCTTTTAGCGTGTTCACTTACTGTATACGATACTCAGGTTAAAGTGTGTTGATATTAATTTATTACTTTAACTCACAGTGTATGTATGAAATGACCCTTGTACATGTTTATTCACATTCACAATATTCACAGTCAGACATCACTTTGACCTCAATTTATTGCCCGATTTTGTAATTCCGATATCCCCACGAGATAATAATTAACCGAGTCTACATGTATATCTCTCACAGATCTACATGTTGACGAGGTAAATAATAAACCTATAATTTCAACAAACAGGAAGGGTCATAAATATTTGTAAAATTTACGAAGAAGACAGATAAAGCATGGACCCCTATCCCAAAGGAGTGGTATCTATATGGAGAACTTTTTGAACACACGTTTCTCTTAAACCAGTCATAAAAAATCTAAAAAATTAACAAATCGTCAATTTAATGGTCATCTTTTGAATGGTAACAATATAATTTGAAACATATATAAATATGCTTTCATCTATATTGTTTTTGAAAACACATCAACCACTTGTTTTGTCCTTGGTATCACGTTTCCAAAGTGCATGAAATGAAACATCTTTCCGAACCTCATTGGAACAAAACGACATAAACACAACATGTTTAGCTCTCTCAATATTGTATAAAGGAAATTTTGGTTGATTTTAAAGAAGTATCTTGTTAATGAAATAAAAGGTTTATCTTGATTTTTATCTATTTTAGGGGGATTTTGTTTTAATTTTTTGAATACTCTTTTAAAATCAACCAAAAATTTCTAAAAAAACATGTTGTATATGCTATTTTGTTCCAACAAGGTTCGGAAAGACATTTTATTTCATTCTCAAAAATTGGTAGAAAGGAGCAAAAACAATTGCACTAAAAAAACAAGAAATGTTAACAAAAACAGTTATATAAAATATTTCTAAATAATTTTTGCATTAAATTGTTGTCAATCAGTCGACATTACATAAAATACTGTGTTTTTTACAGAATGTTTTCAATGATTGGTTTAAGAGAAAAACATTGTTGAATTCAGTTCTCCATATCGATACCACTCCTTTGACAACAGAAACGTTTGTTGGCTTTTAAAATGGGGAAATGTCTTTTTGTAATATTTTCATAGACCAAGATAACCTATAACTTTTATCCTAAAAACATGTAGAATATCTGGAAGGGGTAGCTTTATTATTGAGTTTATTAGCAGATACTAATACTTTGGCTAGTTTTCCAAATGCAGATTGTTAGAGTCCCCGTTTCTACAGTGGCAAAGATCTAGCAGTATCATTTACTTATACCCTGCATCAATACGTTGTCTTACAATTATGAACTGACAATTCAAGTATCAAGTTATCGCTGAGCAATTAGTTATATATAATATTTTCTTATGTATAAATTTGATTGAACCCAGACAAGACACTCAAATAAAATACTACTAGACAGAAATGAAAAGCTTAAATATTTCTCACTTACTTTTCTTGGTTGCAGCTATCAAGTTCCCATCATCGTTTTGATGATTCGAATTAAAATTATTTTTACTTGTTGATATTGTTGAGAGAGGTGACATTGTCGATGTTAAGATGAGTTCGATACGTTTTAGAACTTCCCGCTGTACATCAGTGTTGTTTTCTATAAGATTATGTACATCCACTTCTACTTGAAGGTCTTTTTCTTTGGTTTCCTCATTTTCAGTTATCTTTACAATCAGGTCATCTAATGTTCTGTTGTCTACTATCTTTTTAAGCATAGGCTTCACATTTGTTTTGTTATCGAGTCTTTCAACCGTCTCGAATAGAATATCTGACACAATTTCAACATTCTTATCAAGGGGCTCGTTAACAATTGAAGTCACATTTGTCAAATGTTCCATGATGGTTGTTTCATTTTTGACTTTTTTCTTATTTGCAATGTTTTTATCTTGTGATTCCACAGCGAATCCCTCATTTTCTATTTTATTCTCTCCATCAACTTTATTGACAGGCGTGGCTCTAAATCCAGTATCAATATCTACAAATGAATTGTCTCCGGTATCATTAACGTCATGTTTGTTTACAATCGAATCTTTCACAATATCATCCCTATCTACAGATGGCTCAATTTTAGTGTTATCGATGTTTTCAATACTATTCACATCTGGAAATGTCATTTGTAAGACCGAAGAACTCTCAGTAGAGGTCATTGTTTCACCAGTTTCTGTCCGAGTGTCCAGGGTGGACTGAGCAAAATTCGGATGAATAGACTTTTTATTTTTATCCGGTGGATGAATGTTTGGAAATATAGATGGTAAATGTATTTTTTGCTTTGCTATGAAGGAACCACCAAGCTCTGTGTTGATAATGCTACCACCATCTAATGTATCACCGGCTTCATCGACCTGTGATCCTTTGTCCTTTTTCTCCTCTGAAATGATAACAGAATTGTCGCCGGGGCGAGTTTCATCTGTAAGTACAGTATCTGTTATTTTAGGAAGATTTTCCTTCTGCTTCAAATTATCCAAAATGTTAGTGTCTCCAGGAAAATTATTGAATATGGCCCCATAATCTTCATATGCATCATAATCGCCAAATATGGATAACTGTCGTTCCCAATAATCATACAAGGACTCTGCATCATGTAATGGGACGCCATCTTCATCACCACCAACAAATGGGACGTCATCATTACCAATAAGTGGTACGCCATCGCCATTAACTAATGGCACATTGTCCCCGCCTGTAGATGGGGTTTTACCCCCACTTACTAATTGGACGCTATCGTTGCTTACCAATGGAACGCCATCTGTATTAATCATCGGAACGCCATCATCTCCTACCAAAAGAACACCATCGCTTCGAACCAATGGGACGTCATGGCCACCAATAAATTGATCATCATCATTGCTGGCCAGTGGAGAGTGGGTATTAATATCTCGAGAATCTGTGAAAGGTTCAATATTTGACAGTGGTACAGTTGCAGGGTGATTTGTTTTCACCAGCGGTACTCTTACATCATTTTCATTTACAATAGGTGCTTCAACATCACTATTGCTGACTAAAGGTACACCGACATCGTCAACATTGTTTTCCAATAATGGATCTGCATTGTTTGGATTTATCAAAGGAACTCTAAGATCGAAATTAGGCAGCAATGGAGCGTCAACATTGCTTTCCAATGAAGCGTCTGGATTGTTTGGATTTATCAATGGGACGCCAGTGTCAAAATTCGGCATCACTGGAACATCAACATTGTTTTTCAAAGAAGAAACTTTATTTTTCTGATTTATCAAAGGAACTCCAAGATCGAAATTAGGTAGCAGTGGAGCGTCAACATTGCTTTCCGAAGAAGCGTCTGGATTGTTTGGATTTATCAATGGGACGCCAGTGTCAAAATTCGGCATCACTGGAACATCAACATTGTTTTTCAAAGAAGAAACTTTATTTTTCTGATTTATCAAAGGAACTCCAAGATCGAAATTAGGTAGCAGTGGAGCGTCAACATTGCTTTCCAAAGAAGCGTCTGGATTGATTGGATTTATCAATGGGACGCCAGTGTCAAAATTCGCCATCAATGGAGTGTCAACATTTTTTGCCAATGAGGCATCTGGATTAATTGGATTTATCAAGGGGATGCCAATTTCAAAATTCGGCATCACTGGAACGTCAACATTGTTTTCCCAGGAAGAATCTTGATTTTTCTGATTTATGAAAGGAACTCCAAGATCAAAATTAGGTAGCAGTGGAGCGTCAACATTGCTTTCCAAAGAAGCGTCTGGATTGATTGGATTTATCAATGGGACGCCAGTGTCAAAATTCGGCATCAATTGAGCGTCAACATTTTTTGCCAATGAATTATCTGGATTGTTTGGATTTATCAAGGGAACACCAAGATCAAAATTTGGCATTGTTGGAGTGTCAAAATTGTTATTTATTGGAGCATCTAGATTGTTTGAATTTATCAAGGGAACGCCAAGGTCAAAATTTGGCATTGATGGAGTGTCAAAATTGTTTTTCAATGAAGTATCTAGATTGTTTGAATTTATCAAGGGAACGCCAAGGTCAAAATTTGTCATTGATGGAGTGTCAAAATTGCTTTCCAATGAAACGTCTGGATTGTTTGGATTTACCAAGGGGACGCCAGTTTCAAAATTCGGCATCACTGGAACGTCAACATTGTTTTCCAAGGAAGAATCTTGATTTATCAACGGAAGTCCAAGATCGAAATTAGGTAGCAGTGGAGCGTAAACATTCCTTTCCAAAGAAGCGTCTGGATTGTTTGGATTTATTAATGGGACGCCAGTGTCAAAATTTGTCATTGATGGAGTGTCAACATTGTTTTTCATTGGAGCATCTTGATTGTTTGGATCTATCAAGGGAACGCCAAGGTCAAAATTTGGCATCGATGGAGTGTCAACATTGTTTTTCGATAGAGCATCTTGGTTGTTTGGATCTATCAAGCGAACGCCTAGGTCAAAATTTGGCATGTATGGGGTGTTAACATTGTTTTTCAATGGAGCACCTGGATTGTTTGGATCAATCAAGGGAACGCCTAGGTCAAAATTTGGCATCGATGGAGTGTCAGCATTGTTTATCAATTGAGCACCTGGATTGTTTGAATTTATCAAGGGAATTCCCAGGTCAAAATTAGGTATCAATGGAGAGTCAACATTGTTTTTCAATGGAGCATCTTGATTGTTTGGATTTATCAAGCGAACGCCAAGGTCAAAATTTTGCATCGATGGAGTGTCAACATTGTTTCTCAATGGAGCAATTGGATTGTTTGAATTTATCAAGGGAACATCAAGGTCAAAATTTGGCATCGATGGAGTGACAACATTATTTTTCAATGGAGCATCTAGATTGTTTGAATTTATCAAGGGAACGCCAATGTCAAAATTTGGTATTGATGGAGTGTCAAAATTGTTATTAAATGGATCATCTAGATCGTTTGAATTTATCAAGGGAATGCCAATGTCAAAATTTGGCATTGCTGGAGTGTCAACATTGTTATTCATTGGAGTATCTAGATTGTTTGAATTTATCATGGGAACGCCCAGGTCAAAATTAGGCATCGATGGAGTGTCAACATTTTGTTCCAACGAAATATCAGGATTGTTTGAATTTATCAAGGGGATGACGATATCAGAATTTGGCTTCAATGGAGTGTCAACATCTTGTTCCAATGAAGCATCTGGATTATTTGGATTCATAAGGGATACGCGAATTCCAACATTAGGCAACAATGGAACGTCAGCATTATTTATCAATAAAGGGTCAGGATTGCCTCTGCTTATTAGGGGAACGCCAACGCCATCTTCATCTGGGTTGTTTGGATTTATCAAGGGAACGTCAATGTCAGAATAAGGCATCGATGGAACGCCAGCATTGTTTTTGAACTGATCATCGTTTAGATTTATCAGGGGAACTCCAATGTCAGAATTAGGCATCAATCGAATGCCATGGTTACTTGAAGCATCTGGATTGTTTAGATTTATCAGGGGAACGCCAATGTCAGGATTTTGCATTAATGGAACGCCAGCATCATTTACAAATGAAGCATCCGGGTTGCTTGGGTTTATCAGGGGAACTCCAATATCAGAATTAGCCATCAATGGAACGCCAGCATTATTGACAAACGTAGCATCTGGGTCGTTTGGATCTATCAGTGGAACGCCAATGTCAGAGTTATGATCAGCATTATTCACCAACGGAACATCTGGATTGTTTTGGTTTATCAAGGGAACGCCATTATCACTGTTGCGATGATATGTATTATCTAATCTTTCTTTGTGGCTATTTTTGGTATTTGTCATCAACTTATCTCCACTCACCATTGGTGGAAGATCAATTGCATTACCATGTGTTGCAATCACATCATTGTTGTCCGTCCCTTGACTTCTTTGAGTGTCTGATACTCTGAGATCGTTGCCATGTTGTATCATTGACTTAATATTGTCATCATAACTGTCGTCGTTTTCAAATTTAGTATCCGAGTAAGAGCCAAGAGCCATCACATTTGATTTTATGGACAAATCATCATTTAAACCACTCTGCTTGATCTTGTTTGTATTATGTAATGGGGCATCTCTGCTTTGAGAATTATGTTTGTCATTTCCAAGTTTGCTAAATGCAGGATTAACATTGGCAATTTTGTTAGAATTTGGCAGTGGGATATCACCATTGTGCTTATTTGTATCACTATGTGCATTCTTTTCAAGGTTATCCGTAGCTAACGTAGGTCCAATCGTATTGTGTTGTAGACGATAATCAATTGTAAATAAGTTCGACGAGTGTTCCTTTCTCATTGTTTTGTGACCAACCATAGGTGGAATGTCCATCATGGCTGTATCTATAAAAGGAACTTCGCCATTTTGATCATTCCTGGCGACCTTTTTAAGATCATCTTGTATAGATTCAGCATCTAAAGGATCTCCTCCATCTGTGCCGTCAAGTTCTCTCGCCATTGAATTCTGAGTTTGTGCATATTTCCCAATCCGGCTGCCTTGGTTTGCATTACCACTGTCTTGATGATTTCCGCTGTTGTCTTTTGGGAACGTTTCGTTTTCATTATACATGTACGTGTCATCGTAATAATAGTCATTAAAGGTATCATAATCATGACCCATCCAAGGGTACTCTTCTCGAGCACTATTCGACAAATGATCATTCGGGTTACTCATATCAACCAATGGAACACCAGGCTCGTCCATATCCACCAATGGAATACCATTGTTGTCCAGTACATCCGGACCTAAAGGAACACCAGGGCTGTTCATATCGGCCAAGGGAACACCAGCAGTGTCCTTGTTGACTAATGGAACAGTGTTTCTATTGCCTTGCAATGGAACACCTGCATTATCCAAATCACCCAATTGAACACCTGCATTATTTCTATCATCCATCGGAACACCTGCATTATTCTCATTGCCCAATGAAACATCCGCATTATTTTCATAGTCCAATGGAACGCCTGCATTGTTTAACTCCCCTAATGGAACACCTACATTGTTTAAATCATTCAATGGAGCACCTTCATTATTGTTCAATGGAACATTCACATTGTTTGAATCGATCAACGGAACGCCTGCATCGTTTTTATTGGTCAAAAGAACACCTACATTGTCCCTATCTATCAAAGGAATATTTGCGCCGTTCATATCGACTGGATTTAAACCATGACTCCCCATATCGATATTCATATTGCCCAGTGGAATATCTTTATTTTCCACTCTATTGTCCATATTTACCAAAGGCACTCCAAGATTGTTTCTATTGCCGAAATGTATATCAGAGTGTTGCGTTTCAAATATAGGTAAGCCAGCGTTTTGTGTATCAATCAAAGGAACTCCATTATCATCTTCATTGATCGGAACTCCATGTATATTTTCAAATCTATTGGATAACATAGGGTCATCAATAAGAGGATTGTTAATATTTTCCTGATCCTGACGTCCAACATTGTTGTCTGTAATCCGTGTAACACCATAGTCTCTATCATTATCAAATGAATTCATATTACTGTCATATTTAATTTCTAAGTCATCTTCAATTTTGAATAACGAATCCCTGATTTTTTGCTTTGTTCCAAAGTTTTGATTATGCACCGATTGAGATCCAACGTTGTTGTCATTCAAATTAGAACTATGGCCGTTATTTTCAATGTTTGTATTCCCTCCTTGGTACTCGATATTGTCTCGATTTATATGTGTATTTCCAAGCTCTTGATTACCGTTGGTATTCACTGTAGGGACATCTACGGCATCTTCATCTACCAATAGTTGACCAAGATCAATCCAAGGAAGATGATATTCATCTGAAGGTGCCTTGAGGCCATTGTCGCCCATAAATGGATCATTTTCATTTGTACTAGAAGGAAAGTCCCCATTATTAACATTGACATCATCGCGATAATCTGTCCACTGCTGACGAAGTGTGCCATACAATGGTCCATCATAATTTCCATAGTCATAATAGTCACTTCTCTTCACTAAAGGTTTGGAATGATTACTCAAAAGAGAAGTGTCACTTTTATGTGTATTATCAATTGTTTGGTGTATGGTGTCATTTCCTTTCGAAACTGTGTCAACATTATTTTTCCTTAAAGTAGCAGGACTAGTGGTTTGCTTTATTGATGAAATTGACTCAGTTATAGCGTTCATTATTATACCAAGTTGTGCGCCAACCTTACCCTGGTCATGAAAATGTGTGTTTTGCTCAATATTCTGATCGTGGTAGCTGTCTAATTCAGATTTGGTTGTTTCACTAGTATAACCGCCATAACGCTGCAATACCGAATTTACTTTAGGATCTGAATTGATTTCATTTTTATACTGTTCTTTCTCAATCTGATTTGTATCTTGAACTGTTTCATATTTCTGAATATACGTAGTGTCGTCATAAACAGATGTTGTAGATGTACCACCAAAACGTTTCTCTGATAACGTCGTTGGTTCATCTTTCTCCAAATGATGAGATATATCATTAGTTTCCTCTATATTCTCATTTATATCAAACCACTTATTTATTTCATCAGTTTCAGATATTATATTGGTTTTGTGATCATTGGCTTTATTATGCATTTGGTCGTTCTCATTTGATATATCTTTATTCTCCGAGTTTGTTGTCAGGATATTACCTGTTAGAGTGGTTTGCGAGATGACGTGTCCAAGGTTGACATTAGTTGAAGTTTGGTCTTCCTCGACGGTGATATATCTTTCGGTGCTACTTTTCTGATTTTCATTGTTTGTTTTGGCATCAGTAGCATGGTTAGTTTTATTTTGTATGTTGCGATATTTTGAAATATCTGTTTGAAAAATACTTTTAATTATATTGTTAAATAGACTGTCTTCATTTTGTTTGCCATCGAACTGTTCATCAATTACATTTGTTTTAGTCGTTGAGTGATCCATTGAATTTTCGGAGATTATGTCAGAGTTTATGTTTTCAGTCGTAGGGCTAATACCAGTTGAATCAATTTCTTTTCCATTGGATGAGGTAGCATTGTCATCGTAAAGTAGCCAGCCATTTGTATTGGGTGAAAATTCATTAAAATCATTCATATTATTGATTTTTTCGTTTGAAGCATCGTCCGAATTGTAAGTCTCACTACCTTTTAACTGTTCCTGGTTAGTATGTACTGATTCGTCGACTCTATCATTCTCATTCTTTGAATCACTTGATTTGAATAAACTATTGAATACGCTGTTAATGACATTAGTGTCGGGCCAATCACCAATATTTCCCCTTTCCTCTGATATTGTATTCCTTGTTCTTGGTGATTGTTCAGTTTCAATAGAGCCTTCAGTCTCACTTGACTGTTTCTTCCTCGGATCCTCGTCTACAAATGGGTCCCAACTCCAAGGCAAATCATCATTCGATTCGCTGTCGTCTTCAGGTAATTCTTCTGGTTTGTTTGCAAACCGATCCTCATTTGAACTTCCTGCATCTATTTTATCATTTGAATCACCAGATAGTATATTATTGCCATCTTCAAGTAACTGTTCTTGTCTTTCGGGTATCTTTTCTCGAATTGGAGTTTTTTCTTCAATACCAACTAAACCACCATTGAACATTCCTTGTGGAGTTTCATTTTCAATAGAGTCTTTGCTGTCACTTGGCCGTTTCCACTGAGACCAATTCCAAGTATATCGTGTACTCATTCGAGGTGTTGTAGTCGTTGTCGCGTCTTCATATTTCGGTTTTTCATTTCCATTCCGTGGATCCTCATCAACAAAGGGGTCCCAACTCCATGGTAAATCAGTATCAATATCGTCATCATTGTCTGGGTTTTCTTCCTCTTTGTTGGTTAGCCTCTCGTTTGTTGGAGTTTCACCATTCTTGTGACTGTTCGATTGTTTGAACAAAGTATTGAATACACCACTAATGACATTATTACCAGTCCATTTATCAGTAGTTTTATCTTCTTTGGATTCTTCTATTGCGTTTCTTGCTCTTGATGGAGGTTCACTTTCAACAGAGTCTTCACTCTCGCTTGACCGTTTCCAATGAGACCAATTCCAAGTGTGTCGTGTACTCAGTGGGGGTGTTGTTGTCGTACTTTTATCAAAAGGTTTCCATTTTGCCCAGACCCAGTGATCATTCTTTTCTTCTCCCCTCGGATCCTCGTCTTCAAATGGATCCCAACTCCACGGTAGCTCATTATCAGTCTCATCATCTGTTTCAAATTGAACTGGGTGAAAATCTTCTTCTACCAATGTGGCAAAGTCCCAAGCCAAGAAATCGTCGCGTATAAGATCATCTCGTATGTGTTCCTCTCGTATATTAGGCCGAAACGAAATACTTGCTCCATAACAGCAAGAGACACAAATGATAAAACTCAATGCAGAACCATAAAAAGCCATGTCTGTCTTCATTTAAAACTGGTTAATTGATCCTTTATTAAATCTCGACATTGTACTGTTGTGGTTTATTTATCTAACACGTTTATGATATATCAGAAGACTTAGACTCAGTGGAATTATCCAGCTCAGAATACAATATGTATTAACTTTATTCAATACTGTAATCATTTGTAAACAGAAGTTAAATCATGCAACTGTTTAAGAGTCCAGATATCAGAGATAATCTTCTAGACAGACGATACAGCATAGGGGTTCAGAAAATTCCATGCCAAATATTTCTATTGCGACATAACCAGTGAGATAACATGCGTATTTGTAAGTTTGATGCGGTTTAGATTAGATACATAATGTGCTATTAGACTCTATATTTCCTAATATTCTTAAAAATATTCCTTACATGGTTTCTGACTTTGCTTTATAAATAATTCTTTCAAAGACTAGGTGATCAAATCAAGAGTAGGCTCAGTGTAGTCGGTCTTTTTTAGGTTATGGAGGTCGCTGTGGAATTAAAAAGTGGAGTTATATTTTTTTGTCACCACCAAACGTTGTGACATTGATATGGTCTCCTTTTTTGTGACGGCGGTTGGAAGGCGGTGGTTGGTGGTTGACGTCCGGCGTCTGTAACAAATTCTAAAAACTTACAATAAACAAATACTGTTTGGACAGACTTCATTTTTCCAAATCATCTCCAAGCACTCAGAAGATTTGACCTTCAATGACCTTCTCAAGGTCAAACAATGTCAAAAAGGTATTTTTCAACTTGCTCAACTTTGCCAGAGCTTTAATACATCTACAGTCTAAATTACATAATAAATAAAACTCAGGATCTTTAAGTCTTTGTTTACATATCAAAATAATATATAATTGGTTCCCTTAACTTTGCTCAAACTATACATGTCCAAATCCCAGTGAAAAAAAGTAAATATATATTTGATTTTTGATGCCAAAGTTGTTTTCCCAGATTGATCTATTTATTAATGCATAGTATAACATGATTTTGGATGTCTATGGTTAGGCATTTCTGATAATTTTATCCAGTATTATTTATTGTTCTGAGCATATAACAAGTGGTACAAAATGGAAGTCTGCCACATTCGCCTAACGCTGCTGCATCATTTGATTGTTGTACGGCATCTATATAATATTTACAAAATTGAGCTAATATATATTGTGTACATTCAATTACATTACACCATTCATATCCCTACATCTCTGATCCACAGCACAAGATGGGTGTTACCATGGCATCAAACAGGGCGAACAAAAGTTGAAGTGATACTCTCCCACACTTTTGATGAAGTTGTTTGAGTAAATGATTGATTTCCTTGCTTGTGAGGCAAGCTGACTTTTAGCTAGCTGGAGACCAGGAGAGTATTTTGGAAAATAGTATACCTTGATAATATGATACAATCTACATCTCCGCGATGAAGACCTCAACTATAATAGTTAAGTAAAATGGTTTTGTTATTATGTACACCCGTTTAGATCCTGGTATTAGAAGTCCTATGATTAATTATTAATAGGTCATAAAAACTAAAAATGTTCTGCTTGATTATGAATTATTATGTTTACCAAATTACTCGTTTCATTGATGTGATGGTACGAGACTACTCAATTAAAGGTCGAATTTTATTACAAATTACCCCATCATCAATACTGTATCAATTTAATTAAATGATGGAAAAAGTGAGAATTAATGTCATTATCCGCATTGAAACGTGTTATGTAAATTGAAATAGACATTTATTGTATCATTCGTGAGGTAAAGAATTTGACATTGAATATTTGAGAATGATAAAGCTGTCAAGTTGTGTAATGAAAACTTTTATCGACGGAGTACAAAAGCAGGGAATAACATTTAAAGGTGACTTGAGGACAACACTTTGAAGACAAAACACTAACAAAAATATGATTTAATGTTAAATAATTATAGTAAAACACGATGAACTTGACGAAACTCTTAGTATTGGTACTAGCCATAAATTATACACATGCCTGGTATTCAGAAGAGGAAAAACCTATTAAAGATAAAAATAAAGACTACAATGAATCGGATACTAAGCCAAGATATCTAAAATACAAGAAGCACTATAAAAAGTACAAAGACAAGAAATACCGCGATCGTGATGACAATTTTGATAGCCGTGATGATGGTGATACAGACACAAGCCATGAGTATGAAAGAGAGAATTATTGGGATGATTACCTTAGAAATGATGAGGATACTAAGGATAGATGCAACTGCACGTGTACTCCAACCGACTGTAGGGTTACAGCATGGAGCAAATGGAGCGAGCCAAGAGGCCTCAAAGGAACCAGAGAAAGAAAACGACATGTGCTTGTACAACCTACAAACAATGGAGAACCCTGCCCTAGACTGAGAGAGGCACGCGCCACAGGTTTTCAAACATTTTTGTACTCGATTTCTTCCCTCATTCACCTTTGGCCAATTTAATGATATAGTTCCACCTAAATTAGGGACCGCTTCAAAGGATCAATGTAGGATAGATGTTGTATGGGTCTCGGACACCCTCAAATGTTGAGGGACTTTCAAAGATTTTTCTGCACGTTGTCGCTTTTGTGCACTCAAAACAAATATTAGTGACAAGTTCTTGGAATTAATTTCATTTTTCCCATTTTGACACTGTTTATGAATATTGAAATATTCATGGACTCATAAACAGAAAGTTTCTCTAATTCTCTAATCAATGAACCCCACATTGGCGCAATGCCGGGCACTTATGTATTCAGGTTGCTAATCGGTTCAGCTACAATATCCATGTAATATTGGTCGAACTTATATATTTAGGACATTTGTCCCCCTCACTTCCTAAGGTGACAGGTCATCTCAACCACAAGTCAACTCAACCCAGTCAAACTCAACCCCAAGTCAACCCCAGTAAAACTCATCCCCAAGTCAAATCAACCCTGTAAAACTCAACCCCAGTAAAAGTCAACCCTATTCATTTGTGTGATGTCTAATTCAATTTTACGATGAGTAATTGAAGTCATTCATTTCTGAAAATCTTGCATTTTGCATGATACGTTGAATAGAAAGTTGTTAAATTATTCAAAAAACAGTTCAAGGATAATTCATCAAGTTGTCCCTATTATTTGATCTTTTTAAATCAAAATTTAGATAATTTAGAAATAATTAACAATGAAATATAACTTTTTATTTATATGTACGCTCGTACATGCATCGATCATTGAAATCGTTTAGTCATTATACAGATGCGGGAAGGTTTTTACAATTTTTACCACCAGGTGGCTAATTCGGGTGGATAACATTAACATGGCAGAAAGTATTAGAAAGTTCCCTTAAACTTGAATATTCATCAGTTTTAGTGGTTCAATTTTCATATTACCCTTATGTATCTGGTAGTTGTACAAACTGAAATATATCCCGTTAAAGAAAAATATTATCTGTCCATTATAAGAAAAGATATTTCCTTTTTCTGATTTTGTAACATAGAGTCTATGGGGAATCTCCCCGACTTAAAAGTCACATTTTCAAATAAAATAAAGCAATCGCATCTAGTATATTAATGGACTAAAAGCAATGCTCATGTTCCGGTATTCGAAATGATCACAAGTGTCAACAAATGTAGCAAGATTGATAAAATGACCCATCTCATGCTCAGGTATAAGAATGAATATCATAAACTCACTTAGAATTAAAAAATATTTTTTTATAAAATAAACTTTCACTTCATGTTGAACATAAATTTATCAATAATTAATTTTACTGGGGCTGGGTTATACAGGGTTGAGTTGACTTGGGATTGAGTTTCACTGAGGTTGACTTGACTTGGGGTTGAGTTGACTTGGGGTTGAATTTTACTGGGTTGAGTTGACTTGGGGTCGAGATGACAAGGAAACAAATGTATTCATCGTGCATTGATTTTCGTAGCGGTTTCTTCTTACTTTTGAATTTCTAATTGAATATGATCTCATGGGAAGGCATGACAATTAGGTTCTAATAATGATCATTTTTCAACCAGGTGTTGCCCCTACGATAGATCAAACAGCTAAGAGCTTCTACAAGAACTTCATACTTCATAAATCCGTTGCATCCAATGATGAAGCCCAATATGACGAAGAAGTACATAAAAAGAAATCTGTAGTCCCGCGTGATCTCCTCTTCATACTCGATGAATCTGGTTCAATAGGGCGTTCACAGTTCAGGAAGGTACGAGCAGGTGTGGCTCGATTAATAGAACTTATTTGCGGTAAGGTGGGCCCGGATGAAACGAGGCATCACAGGTACGCTGTGACAACATTCGGATCGAAACCGTCAGTTCAGAAGAGGTTCAATTTCAAACGCTACCAAACTAAAGCGGGATATCGGTAAGAATACATATCGTTTTGTTTTTGCATGGGGAGGGGGCTGGGAGATTATCCTAGTGCTTATTTTTACGAGCATAATTCGATTCACCTTTTTAATGAATGAGTACAGGGTGGTGCATAAATGGGACACTCGCATTTCAAAAATAAATATTGATTTTCTTGATGAAAACATGTCATATTATATACCAGTGGATGGGGAATTTACTTATCTTTAATTTGGTATATCGTAAGTTCAAATTTATTATGATGTCTCTCAACCAGCGTCCATAATATAAATGACGTCGTTTTCATTTCAAAACGGTTTTTCCAAATATTGTCAACTTTATTTACATAAACAGACGTTCAATATATCCAGTGGATATATTATCCACCATTTTGATCAATTGTACCCAATTGGCCAATAGCATCATTGATATGCTGTTAAAGACAATGAATTTCACTTCTCATTAATTCAATTCTGTTCTCAAGAGACTGAATTGATGTAAAGGATTCATGGTACACCAATTCTGTTAGTTCTCCCCATACGTGGGAGTCGCAGACGTTGCTTGATCGTATGATCTGGGGGAGGCAGTGATTAGGGAGATGAATCTAGACACATTTTCTTTTAAACATTTGACACTCTTGTGAGATCTATTGTTTGGAGCCCCATCTTGTCGGAAAATGTAAAGATTCGAGAATGAGCTCATACCAGGATGGTTTAAAAACAACATAATTGGATAATGCGATGTCAACGTATGCGACTACCACGTATTGGGAGAACTAACAGGATTGGTTTACCATGAACCCCTTACATCTACTCAGTCCCTTATTAAGGACATGTTGAGAAGTGGAATTCATTGTCTCAACAGAATATCAATGATGTTTTTGACCAGTTAAGGCCAAAATTGAGGGCTCTAATTGGTCAAAATGATTGACATATTTAATGTCTGTTTGCGTAAAAAAAATTGTCAAAAATTTGTTTTTTGCAAGTTTTGGAAAACCTGTTTTGAAACTAAAATGACGTCATTTATACATTGAACGCTGGTTGACAAATATTATAATAAATTTGAACTTATGATATACCAAATAAAAGATTAGTAAATTCCCTATCTTTCCCACTGGTATATGTTTTCATCAAGAAAATTATTATTTATTTTTGAAATACGAGTGTCCCATTTTTTGGACCACTCTGTAAATACGGATTATTGTAGATTAATTTCAGGTCTTAATTTTGCCTAAATATATTTTTTGATTTTTGGATACCTGTATACTTGGATTAACGTATTACTGTAATTGACAGTTATGGCATCCGGAATGTTTCTCAAAGAGGAGGATCCACCTGTACTGGGAATGCCTTGAAGCACGCCTACGAAGTGATGTTTACTCCAGTTGAAGGTGTGTATTATCATTAGTTAATGCTCCGTTTTAATTGGTCAAACAGTGGCCAATAGCTTCAACTGTTACACAGTTCTACGTAACGCTTAACGTGGCCTAAAATGTTGTTTATTTTTTCGTGAGGCCACTCAGTAAAATTACGATTTCTCTGCACCCTGATATCCGATCAACATCATTTAAGTATCTATGTGTTCCTGACACGTTTGGGCATCCGGTTATGACAACGTCTACCCAATGTTTGCACGCGAAATCGACGTAATTCATGACTGAAATCGGGATAAGGCAATGTATCTTCAAATAGAACCTTAGCCAAGTAGATTAGAGCCTCTGGAACACTTTTGTAAATAGTTTTCACAAGCAATCTGTTTGTGAATCTCAAATTTTGTCTTCCAGATTTCAGTCATGAATTATGTCAATTTTGCGTGCAAACTTTGGGTAGACGTGGTTTTTTGCGGACGCCCAAACGTGTCAGGAACATATAGATACTTGAATGATCTTGATTGGACATCAGGTTGCAGAGAAATCGTAATTTTACTGAGTGGCTTCACGAAAAAATAAAAAGGCTATACGCCTCGTTAAAATGCAGAAATACCTAAGCTCATGTACATGTATCCAAGGACGTCTCTCTCTATAGACGTCCTTGATGTATCTAGTTAAAGTGATTACATGCAAAAATTCAAATGATACCGACGATTGTGAAAATTATAAAAACAATCAATGTCATTTCTGTATTTTCACTTGGATTCCTAGTATACATCTGCTCGCTTTAATCAAACACATTACTTCCTCATAATGTACAGTATATGTATACGATTCAAGCTCATTAAACTAAGTTTATATTCACTGAGATCTATTCGTTTGAGTGCTTATGTATACAGGGTGGTCCAAAAAAGTGAACCCCTGCAACAAGCTATATTTTCCTTAATACATGCATGACTTTGCTCATATTATCACATCTTGTAGGGAAAGGTCTAAACTTTTTGTTGACAGCATAATTTATTCTCAGTCTTGAATTTCGAAGAAATTACAAAACTTATACAAACATGCCTCAAATTAGCAAAATCTGAGAAGCCCTTCATATAAAATCTTACATTAATCAAAAGGAAATCTAATATTCAGTGTTTTGAGCCACATTTCATTAGAATTGGTCCATGCTTAATGATATTGACATTTTAAGACCATATAGGGTTATGTTGCGATTTCACTGGAAGATGTTCTCGTCTTTGGAAACATTGAACATTTCTTTTGATCACAATAACTTTACAACTAACAGAGGTAGGATGCTAATATTTACATCATATTGTGTGGGATTCAAAACCAAACAAAGTCAGAAAACATTAGGTTTCCCAAACTCCGGCTTAAAAGATTTCCATGGGAAGATTGTTAAAGGGTTGAAGAATCGCAGATATTGAAGTTCACATTTTACCCATTTTCAGTGATGTTTCGTTAGGGCTTATCATTTCTGCAAATTTCAATACTAAGAAAGATGTATAGTACCAACAAAAATTCGAGACCTTCCCCTACAACATGTGAAACTATGAAAGGATTCCTGCAGGTAATAAGGGAAATATAGCCGGTTGCAAGGGTTCACTTTTTTTGGACTACCCTGTATATTATTTCTGAAAGTGCGATCATACTATCATTTATCTCAAAATATTGACAAGGAGAGTGTTAAACTATATTCGTATGCTCAGTTTTATGGCTTCCTGATTTGAGTCCTTCGTTATTTCAGGCACATACATATGATTTAATCATGGCCTCCAGCAGAAAGGACACATTGATACCACTGTTCCACAACTAGTCAAAGCTCTCTTTTGAGAAGCGAAGTCGAGCGAATGCAAAGGATAGAACAGTTGTGGAACAGTGAATGTATCCAGTGAATATATTATTTGAGTGTTAATCATATTAGTGACCAACATTTTTGTTCTTAAAAAATAAGCCACTCAATTTCTTATAATTAAAGTTTCATAAATTGCAGTAAATGATTAACTCACAACTAATACATTAATCTAACAACATTTTTCTACTCTGTGCAAAACTAAGAGATGTAGACCATGATATATGTTATGAGTTACATGTAAAATAAAATAATATGGTACGTACCTCTATTAGGAAGCCATACGACTTCAGCGACTAGATCCCTACTAAAGCCAAATCAAGAGGTGATGGAGGTTACTTCTACATAAAGTAAACCTATTTAGAAACTAAGAAAAGGGTCAAATCTTATTTGATAGCCTTACCATTTTTCTGAAGATCATTTATCCTTTGATTTTGACGGTCGAGTTCTGTCTGTGTCGTTTCAAGTCGCTTCTTCAAATCGTTTACTTCATTTTGGAGTTCGGAAGTTCTGCAACATGCTGTGGTATTATCTACAAATGCAAGGAAAACTATTGCAGATGCAATATAGAATATAACGTCCATCGAGTTCATTGTCATATCTCGCACTGGGGATTAGATATCAGAGATGTGATAACCTTGTACTTCAGCTGGGAACCTTTCACAAATACTCTCAATATCTGAGCAATGGTCCTGCATATAGATTTATATGATGCTCTAAATATTTAAAGTAGAACAACAACCATAACAAACAAAGAACAAAGGGACACTTATGAAAAGGACGTTCACCCGATGAACTCATTCAAATACATGTACCTCCTGACGCTACTATATTTTATTTTGAGATTATGACATTTGACGGAAATGGCATCCATTCACCCGAATGATAAATATATATTTAATTTTTTCTGATGAAGCCATTCAATTACTATTGTCACTACTTTACTTATTTTGAACAAGTTATTTCTGATAGAAGAAGATATTCACTCTACTATATCTTGCATTTAGTGTTCATGAGCAACCCAATTGGCTTAATAGTAATGATAATGTTATTTGTTTTTATTTGTTTGTTCGTTATGAATGGTTTATCGGAAGACTGTTAGATGTTAATAAGGTACACGTACTTGCAAAAATATACCAATCAATACAATTAGACAAACAGTATCTTTTTATGCATTTCTGGGGGTTAGGTATAGTAGAGTGTATTTACAAAAAATAAGCAATAATAATTCACTTATATTTGTAATGTACATAAATAAAAGACATGTTGTCCTTTTTGAGAGTTTCCACAATAATTTCATCAATTCTATACTTGAAACCATATTAAGAAATGACATCGTCAACTCGATAGTGGCGACCAAGCCATTAACAGTAACAGTAATAAGGAAACAGCGTTGTTTCCGACAATACATCATACTGCATAGGAAAGATAGTTGGATGAGTGTATATATTGTTTGTCATAACGTAAGGCAGTACAGGGTTAATATTTAATTATATGTGTAAAATAAATGTAATAATTTTAGAATTGTGTCTTGTCCCTTCGCTTGAGTCATAACACTAGTTTGGTGTGATAGCTATCTTTTAAATCGTTCAAAAGTAACTGAAACAATCTTCAGTTCTAAAATACAAACCTTGATGAGAATGTTTAATTTGTCTATTTGTCTATTTGAATTTTAAATAAAATGACTTTTTGATTTGATAATTACAGGAGCCCGTTTGCATCAATCGAAAGTTAGCAAAGAAGTCCTTCTCGTGACAGATGGAAAATCGAACTGTGGCCATGATATTGTGAAAGAAGCGGAAAAACTAAGAACGATCGCAACCGTTTATACTGTAGGTATAGGGGAATTCAACAATAAGTACGCCAAGGCAGAACTTGAAACTGTAGTATCTGCTCCAAAGTATAACCATGCATTCAATGTCCCGGATGAAAGAGGATTTCTCGAGATGCTACATAGAGTTGAAACGAGATTAAACGAGACTTGGGTTGAATATGGAGATGCATGTGCAACTATTGAATGGGATAAATAAATATTCTCAGAATCACTTGACGTATAATCTAACAGCAATATGATACATTGAAATACATTCTACTTTTTACCTAAATGTATGCGTTTACTTGAACTAGCTAGAACCATGATATGCTTGAATTGCGACTTCTTCCTTTTATATAAGCACAACTTCTCTGAAGACTTTTCTGATAATCGAAATGAACTGAACACATGGATGGATAGTATGTGTTAAACCCATCGGAAAATAGCACGAAGGACACAATCAATGAATTCAAATTATGTATAGTATCGTGTAGAAGGAATCACCGTTCAAATAAATAAATAATTGACCATGCATCTATGGAATTTTTTCTGCATCTTTATTCGATTTTAACACTTTTGTATTTGATTACAACCATTCGATATTCCACTCTATTAAAATGATTCGAAACACGTAATAAATTTGTTTGTTTTTACACATTTGTATTTGATTTATGTACCTATATATGCGGTAAATGCACTTGTATATGCGGTTTATGTTATTCAGTGTTTGGTAAAATATCACATATATAAGTCCATGTACACACACGAACAAAGACGGTTGACACATATATTTAGAACACGCATCAAATATAAATACACTTTAGCACCAAACAATGTTCATTTACCGAACAATCATAGAGTACAAAATAGCACGGACATATGGTGACTTACCCCACATAATTAATGACATGTACTTTCACATAAAATTATGTGGCGTAAGTCACGTGACTTACCCCACATAAATGACACATGCTGCATGTAGCATAAAACCATTCGGTAAATCACGTGACCAGTGACGTAGAAATTATTTCAAAATGGATGAAACAAGCGAGGAAAAAGAATATTTGAATACGATTCATATTCACAATTCACAGAGGAAATTGAGAAGTTATTAGATCATTACAACAGGCATGAGGCTACAAGCGATCCTTTCTTAATAGAAGATACGTTTTCGCGATTGGAGAATCACACCAGAGCTCTTTGAATATATAGATGGCGCAAGTCACATGGTCGAAGTCACGTGACTTACCCCACATCAAAACAGTGAACATTGGGGTACGAGTACCGTAATCTAACACGAATTTTGAAAATTCCTTCCAATATTTGGGACAAATGGCGTTCGTTACCTACTATGAAACGCTTACCCCCCATCATGTTATATATCAAAATGTACCTGTTTATATAGGGATTCGATTAATCTACATCAAATTATAGAGAGTCAGGTTACTTTTCGAGATATCAGCGTTCATTTATTGCAACTCCCATTTGCTAACATTTGGACAATACGGAAATGACGTGCACACGCGTAGTAAACACGATCACGTCAGAACTATTTTTGACCTACATCGCTCTTTTTGTACTTAAAATGAGAGTTGAACTCATCCTCTTTATTTTGATACCAAATAATGGCATACTAGGTATCCTAGAAGCCATCCATGGCCTTATTTGCAACAAATCGCAGGTTTTTTAAATGGACTATATAGGGGTCATACCTTTTGGCGGATGGATATGGAACCTCATACCTTAATAGATTTTGGCATGTTTCCAATTATCGAGATAATTCATTTTTATGGTTGATTGCACTATTCTACACTTGAAACATTGATTTTAAGTCCAATTTTGATGTAGGAAAAAAAAATTTTGTAAAAGGGGGGGTGTGAAGCGATTTTTTGATACCCCGAAATACCCTAAAATATGCTATCAAACTTTGCAGCGATGACGTCACAAAAGTAACCTGACTTTCTCCGAGATTATTGTTGATTATTAAGCCCAAGGTAAGTATATTTCAGGATATGACATCCATTAACACTGGTAAGTGTTTCATCTGAACGAAATTTTAACTTTTAAATGCATCTTGTCTGACTTTTTTCCACTATTTCCTCCATTCTGACCAAGTGCTTTGACGAAGCATGCAAAGCTCTGTGTAGATGACGTCATACATACTTATTTAGTCATATGTATTATCAATTAAGTTTCTTTGGAAACCTAAATCAATAAACTAAACAGTTCAAGCTGTAAAATGGCGAAGGGAAGTAGAAAAAAACATACATTTGAGATCAATAACAAGCATTGCTACAACAATAGTGGTCAGGCCAGAACTAGAAATACCCAGCCAAATGTCAAAAATAGATTCTTCAGATTGGACAGTGATACATCTCTAAGGGCTTGCGGTATTCCACTCAGCAGCCTGAGACCAGAGAAAAGAGATGTGTTTTTCACTAAATTGAGAACAAGTGTGAACAGTCGCACAGTCAAGGGAAACAGACTCGTTAATATGGAGCAGCTAATGGTAATGATCAATAGAACAATCAAAGATCATCAAACCGTTAGTCCAAAATGTAAAACGCCTGAGTTTTGCTTACCTGCCAACAAAGAGGAGCAACAAGGCTTAGGTTATGCATACGCAATGAAATGCAAGCAGTGTCGATTCACATCATGTACATTTAAGACTTACCTATCAATCGGAAAGACATCAAATCAGGTACCTGGACGCCAAAAAGCAATGTGCAACTACCAGCTGGGTACATTCATGTTGAAGACATCAATACCGATGGATGACATCAGATTATTAATGACTACTTTAGATATGCCACCTATCGGAAGGTCGACCTTGCAAAGATTAGTAGATGCATCATCAAAAACGTACTCTGCCCTTAATGATGACCAGAATGTGAAAAACCGAGAGCTTGTAAAACGTATCACGAGTCATCGAGCACAAAAGAGTGTGTTGTACAACTGGACACTGCCTTCAACAACAACCCAAAAGGCCGTGCTTTTTCTCAACCGGGAACGCAAAGCTATACGCCGTTGCTACATGAAGAGACCAATCTAATTCTGGCGAATAAAGCGTACAATAAGCTATGTAGCAGGCATGGGCTGGCTTGTAAAGGGAAGATGGATGGATGTTCCAGTGCAAATTTCGAAAACCAGAAAGCGATAGGTAATTCAGAGAGTATGGCTGCATCAGTTCTCATAACAGAGGCTTCTCAAGACTTAACTATCACTCACGCTACCACAGACGGTAATACAAGTGTGAAAAAGACACTTACAAACATCAACGTTCAACCTCTAGAATGCGTTGTGCACAAAGGCCGTGGTTTGAAGAGAAAATTTTATTCTCAAACATTTAGTCAAATAATGATTGGCAAAAGCACGGATCAAAGTTATGGATACAAAAGGGCTAAAATGTCAGAATATCTTTCAAGTAGATGTATCTCAGAGCTCTACACAGCAAGGCGAAAATTTTCTAGAAAAGATTTCAAATTTTTTGAGTTGATCGAAAAAAAACGCACGCATCTCCTTCGCTGTATAATGGGTGACCACACTCATTGCAAAAAAACATCACTGCAATGCAATGTGAAAACGATTCTCAATTACTTACCTTGTAATCAATATATACAAGCAACTCCTGCTGATATAGCAAAGCTACAAGCATGCATTGACTATATGTTAAATGCTGATACGATAAGACAAATGTTCAAAACAACAAACACCAACAAGACAGAGGCTTGTCATTTGAGGACACTTAAGACATTGCCAAAATCAAAAACGTCTTCTAAAAATGTATATGGTCGTTTTGACAGTGCAATGCACTCCCATTCTATCGGCACTCCAAAGTCCATAATCATGGCAAATGAAAAAATCGGTGCAAACCTTACTTGTAAAAAGGCTGTGATCAATTTGGAGGCAATGCATATAGCAAATGGAAAGAAACTTACCCTTCAAAGGAAGTGTAAAACAAAGCAAAGGAGAGTTTCTGCAAGAAATGCTAAAATTGGCCTCAAAAGACTAGCAACTTTAAGTGTTGAAGGGGCAAGACTAGGGAAAAATGGAACAATTTCTGATCACAATTATGTTTAGACCAATAAATATCTCCCATTAATTCTATAATATATGTGTTGTTGTTATTTATTCTCTAGCCTTACCACAACGTAGTTGATCTTAATTGCCCCTATTTCTAAAAATAGCTAAGCACAAGTGCCAAAGGGAAAGGATCAAAACTGTAAAGAAACAAAGTGAGAAGAACAAAATATAAATGCTTTTAAATGTAACATTGGAACCCTCTTTGACAAACTGCGAATTCACTCTAATAAACATTTTGGGCCATCATGACCAAAGCAAATCCCATTCATGAAGCAAACTTTTCTGAGGTTGTTATTTTGGGGGGACTCGGCACAGAGATGGTCTATGTTGATACACGTTTTAGAATGGCATAGATGTGAGATTTGTTCATTTCTAGCTAAGGGAGTGTTAAAATGTAAAATGTAAATAAGCTGATGACAATTCACTGGCCGAGCCCCCCAACCCCGATACGTCACTTTTATTTGGCCATAACCCTTTCCACTTTTAGCTTTTATCCAATTTTTACAAGTACCGACATTAACCGTTCTGTCTGGGTGTGTCAGTCTCTCCAGCAAGGTATCTCTGTACTCTCTGCTGATATTTTCTATCAGTTCATTTATACTTGTGTGCTAAAAAAGAAAGATAAATTAAATGAATTTTGTTAATCAAATAAAAATAGATGTTAATCAAAAAAAAATCACATAAAAAACATGAATAAATTAGGAAACGTAAGCTTAATTTGGGGGTAATTTAATATAAAAACGCTATTTCTGGATACCAAAGTTACTGATTTTTGGCCAATTATTAGGTTAAATTACCATTTTTGGGCATGAAAACGTTTCGATCTATCAAGAAATACTGAAATTATGAGGGTTGGAACACCACTATACAGTGTCAGACTCCTGAAGGGAACATTGAACGCAATTCAGAAAAATTCGAGAAAAGCATGCTATTTTTGCTATCTGAGTGGGTGTTCAATTGACTTATATTCACTGTAAATCTACTATTTTGAAGCATATATAGGGGCAATGGTCGACAAAAGACCTTTAAGTCATCATATAACTGAATATAAATGGATACAATACGATACAAGTCGGGAAAATGTAAAGTTTTGTACTTACATCCATGTTGCAGACAGTTTCAAGGTCGAATTTGGGCTCAATTAAGGTACGAGTACCGTAATCTAACACGAATTTTGAAAATTCCTTCCAATATTTGGGACAAATGGCGTTCGTTACCTACTATGAAACGCTTACCCCCCATCATGTTATATATCAAAATGTACCTGTTTATATAGGGATTCGATTAATCTACATCAAATTATAGAGAGTCAGGTTACTTTTCGAGATATCAGCGTTCATTTATTGCAACTCCCATTTGCTAACATTTGGACAATACGGAAATGACGTGCACACGCGTAGTAAACACGATCACGTCGGAACTATTTTTGACCTACATCGCTCTTTTTGTACTTAAAATGAGAGTTGAACTCATCCTCTTTATTTTGATACCAAATAATGGCATACTAGGTATCCTAGAAGCCATCCATGGCCTTATTTGCAACAAATCGCAGGTTTTTTAAATGGACTATATAGTCATACCTTTTGGCGGATGGATATGGAACCTCATACCTTGGTTTATATAAAAGCATTCGGTAAGTCACGTGACTTACCCCACAAATTAATATGTTTACCACGAATGAATATGTTTACCCAATACGAATGGTACTTGGCATCGCACATATTTAAATCAAATTTATATTTGATCGGGTCGAATACAGTTTTGAAGCATTTTACATATTTGTTGCGTAAGGCAGTCAATTATATGTGGGATAGTAGGTAC